TATCAAGTTTATTATTAAAAAGCACTGATAATAAGATTTTTAGAATGCCACCATTTTAATAAATGTTTTTTGTGTCCATGCTAGGTTCTGCCATTAACATCTTGTCTAGTAATAATTTTCTGCACCTGGTAAATATGGGTAATCAGTTTTGTAGAAAAATAGGCAGATTTTTTTAGGACAAAATTGGAACCCCATTGAAGAAAAGGGAAAGTATGGAGGCTCTAATATGACAGGATAAATATTTCTTGATTCAGTTTTGGATTGCTCCACTTATTTTCTCAGATGTTTCATCAAAAATACCAAAAAATGACATTCATATTAAGACTACACAAATTAGCAACGAAAAGAATTGCATGTCATTTTGGTCTATAGCATCAGTGTCCTACTCATCATTAAGAATCGCTAATCTTCAGGGAAATGCAGATCAAAACCACAGTAACATGTTACCTCACACCTGTCAGAATGGCTGTCACCAAAAAAACACAAATTAACAAATGTTGATGAGAATGTGGAGAAAAGGGAACCCTTGTACACTGTTGGTGGGAATGTAAATTGGTGCAGCCACTCTGGAAAAACAGTGTGGAGGTTTCTCAAAAAATTAAAAATAGAGCTAGCATATGACCCAGCAAGTCCATTCCTGGATATATATCTGAAAAAACAAAAACTAATTTGAAATGATATGTGCACTCCAGTGTTCATAGTAGTATATTTTACAGTTGCCAAGATATAGAAGCAACCTCTGTCCATCAACAGATGAATAAAGAAGATATGGCATACACACACACACACACACACACACACACACACACACACACACAATGGAATACTACTCAGCCATAAAAAGAATGAGTTTTTGCCATTTGCAGCAACATGGATGGACTTGGAAGATATTATGCTAAGTGAAATACATCAGACAGAGAAAGACAAATACTGTATGATATCACTTATATGTGGAATCTAAAAAATACAACAAACTAGTGAGTATAACAAAAAAGACTCAGATATAGAGAACAATCTAGTGGTTACCAATGGGGAGAGGGAAGGGGGAAGGGCAATATAGGGTAGGAGATTAAGAGGTACAAACAATTATATATAAAATAAACTATAAGGATATATTGTACAACATGGGGAATATAGCCAATATTTTATAATAACTATAAGTGGAATATAACCTTTGAAAATTGTGAATCACCATATTGTACACCTGTGAGTTATATTGTGCATCAACAATACTTCAATAAAAAAAGAATACTATCGGTAACACTCACATGTGTTAGTTTCCTATTTGCATTAAAACATAAATTGAATAAAATCCACAAAAATTAATTTACCCATTTTGAGATAATTAAATCTTAAGAGTAAACTAAGCACACCTTAAATATGGCTGTATCTCATAAAGATAGGTGTCTTTTACTTTGGAGTTGAAATCCCATTTATTAGGTAATTACAGAAATACTAATAGTGTTTTTGGTAGACGTTTAATTATTTAAGCTATGTATAAAGCCATTATTTGTCGAGAATGGTATTATTAGGCTTACAGTTTACAGCTCAAAACCATAAACAACTTGTACAGTGACAGTACACACACCTATGGTTTGTTCTGGGTAGCACACCAAAATGAGTAAAAATTAACATCACAGTGAATTTTATTTTGTTTATAACAAACTGAATTCTTGCCTTCTTTCTGAATGCTTACTTAAATTTGTTTCTTGTGTTAGGTGACTACGTATAAGGGCCTTTAATTGTTTCATTTCCCCCAGAATTCATACACACGTGAGTATAGGGTTAATTGTATGTAATACAGTGCTTTTTGTCGTTTGAGCACTGTTTCCTCAATAGGTATCTAAGGTTGCCAGTGTTACAATCCCAAATTCTTTTTTGAACAGACTGCTTGTTCATACAGGAGCTGCATTGTTGTACAGCCTCATTCCTTCCAATGGGTGTGGAGCAGGATTAAAGCACACTTTATAGGGGTTCTAATTGTAGATGCCTAATTGACTTGATGAATAGCAAATGCTAAAATTTAAACACACACACATACACACATAAACTTGTTTTAGGGCTGATCTGCGTGACAGGACAAATGCCTCACAGGTGTTGAATACTTACAAGATAAAAGAGTAGACTTTCCATATTTCCTGAGATTTTTCTTTTGAAGTTTATATGGATTTTCTATCCCATTGTTTCTTTTCTTGAAATGGTTCATGGCAATAATCCATTTCATCCTGGGTGCACTTTTCACTTCTAAAGGTGGGCCTCAGTTTTAGAAGTTGGCCAAGATTAAAAACAAGAAAATCTGTCAGCAAGTAAATTTTTGCACACTTTGGGAATGGTAGAAAGGAGTGAAAAACTGCTGACTCTGGCCTAGTACGGTCACAAGTTGTTTTCTTAATTCTTCAAGAATGATTTGACTCTTCACTAAGTACTTTCAAGGTCTCCAGTTTGTCTTCACTACCTGAAAAAGAAGGAAGTTTCTCTAGCTAGGAACTTGACAGATGGAAAAGATTTCTTTTTTTTTTTTTTTAACATTTTTTATTGATTTATAATCATTTTACAGTTGGAAAAGATTTCTTAAAAATCAAATGATCACATCAGTTTTTATTTTTAACACTTAAAAATGTTTTTCCTTTATTTGGTTTTATATTTTAACGGTGTTCCAACTCTCTTAGGGCAAATATTTTTTCATAAATTTTTTTTAGCTTTTTAGTTTGAACTTATTGTAGATTCACACTATAGAATATGCTCTACCCAGTTTATCCCAGTGGTAGCATCTTGTATAACTGTAGTACAGTATTACAACCAAGAAATTGATGCTGATACAATCTACCAATCTTATTTATATTCCACCAATTTCATAGGCACTCACTTGTGTGTGTGTATGTAGTTCTGTGCAGTTTAATCACATGTATAGATTCCTGTGACTACCAAGGATTCTTCATGCTACCCTTTTTAAGTCCCCAGCCACCTTCCTCTCACCCCAAACCCTCCAGCAATGGCCACCCATGATCTGTTCTCCATCTCTACAGTTTTGTCATTTTAAGAATGTTATATAAGTGGAACCACATAGGATGTACTTTTTGGATTGGCTTTTATTTTTACTCAACATAACTCCCTTACAGTCCATCCAAGTTGTTGCATATGTCAATACTTCATTCCTTTTTATTGCTGTATAGTACATATGGTGTAAGGATATACCACAGTTTTGTTAATTTTTTTTAACAGTTCACTCATTGAAGGACATTGGGTTGTCTGTACTATTTTTAGCTATTATGAATAAAGCTTCTATGAACATGTAGTTACAGGTTTATTCATTATATTTTTTCACTATTTTATTCATAATATTTATTCACATTGTAGGCCATAGAATTGAGTATAAAATGTATCATATCAGTTGGATATTTCCTAGAGGTGAAATTTGAAACATAGGGCAAAAGTATAACACAAAAAAAATTCTCCAGGGCCTTTAGTTTTCCATAATATCTGGATTTCCTAGCATTAAATCATTACTATTCGGGCAATAAGAAAAGGTGACTTCCCATTTAGTATCTATATGACTTTAACCTCATCCCTAGACAGCACCATGGAGTGAGAGGCGGTGGGGAAATGTATAGATTTTTTTTTCTAAAACTCTTATTTATCTAAATGATGTTGTTCAAAAGAGTGTCCTAAATTAAATAGATAATGAAAAATCCTGTTCTTAAAAATGACAGATGTATTAATGTTTCTACACACATTATATAGAAAGCTTTTCTAAATGTATAACATATTAGAATCCATAGGTAAATACAAAAGACAAATAGTAAATCTGATTTTTCAGAAATTAGTTAACTAATAACCATTTGTTAGGGATTAACTGTGCCCCAAATAAAGGAAATTTTTGAATAGATATAAAATTTTAAAACTTTCAATAAAGTGTTAAGTATTCTTTGTGACTATGAGTTTCTCTATCATTTGAATTATATTCTTAGGTTAGAATCCAAGAAGTGAGATATTGATGAAAAAGGGCCCCATTGCATATTGCTAAATTTCTTCCCGAAAGAATTATACTAATTTATATTATCTCCTTCAAAGCATGGCACTGTAGTTTTGCAACACTTTTATTAACATTAAGGTATTATAATTTTTATAATTTTGCTAAGTAATTTGTTAGGTTTAGATTTATATTGTTGATGATGTTGGATTTATTTTCATGTTTGTTTAATGGCTATTTTTCTCTCTCTCTTTTTTTTTTTTTTTTTTGGTTAATGGAAGTACTGGGGATTGAACTCAAGACCTTGTGTATGTTAAGCATGCACTCTGCCACTGAGCTATACCCTCCCTGTTTTTCTCCTTTTAGATATTGTTTCTGAGAATGAGAAATGTCGCTGTGTTTTGTCCATATCCTTTCTTTGTAGTTTCAGTGCCCATTGGCTTACTTTCTATGCAGTAATTACCCAAGTCCCAAAGGCAGTGGTCTTATATTTTTGTGTCAGACTCAATTAAAGTTAAAAATACATATAGCACACACATATCTTGAGCTAAAAGCACTAGTGCCCTTTCTTAAGTACTTTTTTGTAAGCAGTTGTGTTCCTAGTCCAGGACTTCCTGACACAATCTGTTTTAATCCCAGAAGCCTTGAGCCTACATAAGCACTATTGCTGTTAGCAAATACGTAGGCTGTGCCAGAACATAAACTTTCATTTATAGTGAACTTCTAATTATATGCTTGCCCATGCTATTAGAAAGGAAGTAACTCACTTTAGGTGGAGAAATTTTCATTCTATTTGGCTGTCACACAATTGACTGAAAGCAATAATGTTGCAGATATTTTTTTGTGACCTCAGGGTAGAAGTAAGGGAAATACACTTCAGACTAATCAGACCTGGCTCAGTGTTCAGAGACCAGACTCAAGTGACTTAATAGTGTAGCATTAGGCTCATAAAGAAACTTATTAACTGCTTTAAAAGTGGTAAAGTATATAAATAAAATACTGTGGGTTTTTTTCTTTTTTTTTTTTTCAGGTTTGCAAGTAAAAGTAACCAAACTGAAAAAGGAACGAATTTTGTAAGTATCAGTATATATAATACTGATGTCTTATTTATAAAGTAATAGATATTGATATCCTGTTTGATCTCAGTGTTTTATTTATATGGAAATTAGCTTTACTTAGCATGGACTCTGTATAGTTGATGGCGAGTTATTCAAAACTCTAAAGGGAAAAGAATAATAATTTTGAATACAGCCTTAGTTAATATTTGCATATATTTATATTTTAACATAATTTTTATATATGTATAATCTTTTTCCATAAAATATTTATTAAGATGGAAACTGATCTGTAAAGTCCTTAGGGATTCCCATCTGGAAAAAGCAGTTAGACAAGAAATCAATAACTGTACTGTATTTGTCAGTCAGTTCATTGTTTCAGACCTGTGTTTTGATGATCGTTGTCTCTGCACATGGTTAATGCTTCTCTTTTGCACAAATTCATTTAGAAAATGAAACATATAGAAGTGTTGACAGTTGAATATTTGTTAAATACTCCCAAAATAGGATCAGTGAAAACTTGATGCTGCTTCTGTATTAAATACATTTTCTAGAAGTATTAGAAAATCTTTTTTTATTATTAAATGAGAAACAGCCTAATTAACAAATTTCAGCTCTCTGTTATTTCCAAAGTTTCATGTATCTACATATGCTACCAGAAGAGTGTTTGTTGTGTAGTACGAGGCCACTCTTAGATGTATTGGTTTTTCATTCAGTATCAAATGTTCAACCAGTATTTAAGAAGTACCTTCATATTGGTATCTGACATTTTGACTTAGTTGTTTTGCTCATCTCTTTTGTTGCTAGTGATCTTTCATTCTACATTTTATCAGTTTTGGCACAGTCACTTGAACATCTCCTTTTTGTGGCAGACTGGTTTGTCACTCTTATTTGATTTGATATTTTGGATCCTTGAGGGGACTGGGGAAACATGTTTGAACTAAGATATTACCCTATATTTTCAGCTTCAAGACACCATAGAAAATCCCAATTCAGTTTCTAATAGGTTTTCATAGAATTAAAATATATGCATACTTTATATATGTGACTTTTATGAAATATAATGATGGAGGGATAAAATGTAACATAACCTTGGAAAGTAACCAGGTAATCCACTACAAGAAAATTTTAGATATCTTTGTTTTTTCCTGACTAAAATTCTAATGGCAGATACCTAATAGAACTTACTGTGTGCCAGTACTGTTCTGCATGCTATATATTTGTTAGTACTTACTTAGTTCTTGCAAATTTCTTATGAGGTAGATACTAATATATCCACATTTTGAATCACAGAGAGTTAAAGTTACTTGCACCAGGTCATGCAGTAGTGGATGTTAGCTGAGATTCAAACCTAGGCATCAGGATATAGGGTTAGCGTACTTGCGTTTCATGATAAGCCCTGGCTTAAAAGTAGTACCAGATAAAACTTTAAGCAACATAAAACTTAGTAAATTAGAAAGTATAAACACTTCATAATTAGAATAGAGATGATATGAGTAGAGTTATCTGTTATTTACATTAACAAATGTAGACCAAAAAAACCTAAATGTATTTTAATAGCAGTTTTGACAACATTGAGTCAGTGGTGGCATCAGAATTCACTCCTGTGTTCCAGTGTTGTTTGATGAATGCCTAGTGCTCAGGATGATATTTCTATAGAACAAAAAAATACTGCAGAGCAAATTTTAGTATAATTTGAACTGTGATTAACAAGATATTCAACCCTCACCTTCTAAGTTGTTTGTTTTGATACAACAAATTCATGGTAGGTAAGTGGTGAGATCATACTTTGGAGTTCTTAATGACAGAATAATCTTGTTAGAGTATTTTTCCCTAAAAAACAAACAACAACAACAAAAACTTAACTTCTTGACTTTCAGAGATGCACAGAGACTAGAAGAATTCTTCACCAAAAATCAACAGCTGAGAGAGCAGCAGAAAGTGCTTCATGAAACCATTAAAGTTTTAGAAGATCGGTGAGTCTTGTTCTTGGGTCTTTTTGAGTAAGAGGTGATTTCTCTCTTAATAGAGTATTCATTAGTTTTCATTTGTAATCAGTTCTGAGACTTAAAGTGATCTTTTTTCCCAAGCTTATGTCAACTTTGTATAAATTCTTTATGAAATTAAGGATATACTCTTACAGGTTTGTTTTTTCATTAATTACAGTGATCACATAAATTTACCCTTTAAATGATGTTTCTTTATCCGGTGTTTGATGTAGGAAGCTTAAGGGTAGCATTGTTCTAATTCATTTGATGCTTCAATTTCATTTTTACTTCCAAGTGGGTGGAAACTGCTTCACAATTCTGTTCCTGTCTTCCTGGTATTCTCTTTTCTCCCTGTGTATTTCTCCACTTTCAGGCATCCTAGGGATTCTTTTTACTGAATACTCCCAAGATAATGCCTGTTATTTCACCTCCACATACCAACTTTTTTCTTCCCCACACCTATGAGGTTAACACTCTACATTAGAAAAGGCTTTCAGATTTTGCTATATTCCATTGTCTGAACTGTAAATGCTATTTAGGACTTTGAACTACTTATAATAAACAATGTTTTTTGCTTTCTTTATAGTTAATATTTTTCCTTTATTATCATTTTTATATATGTTACAGAGGGGCTGATAGTTTGAATTTCCCACTGTGCCTTTAGTGGTAGAGTAACCTAATATTCTGCATGTATGCAAACTAAAGTTGAGTACATTTTTCTTCTACAACTACTCCTCAGTGGATGCACATTTACTTGAATAGTCAGCCTCTTGTGGAATAATAGACTGGTGTGGGATGCCTGTGTGTTCACTTGTATGAACAGGCAAAGGATTTCAGAGCACAGTAGCTGGAGCCAGTCATTTTATTTCTCACAATAAGAGATAACACTTTCAGTGGCTGTCACACTCAAAGTCTGTATTTACTTCCAGCATTCTTTCTGTTTAGTTGATCATTAGCAGGGTGTGTAGGATCCAAAGTTAACGCACTGAAAAAAATTACAAGATAAAGTTTTCATGATGTTTTGCTTGAATTGGCTTAATACAATTGGCTCTCCATTTCATCCCCAAAATACAGTGTTCTTCATCTTAGCTCTTGTTTTTTTTCATTGAAGTATAGATAATTTACAATGTTGTGTCAATCTAGTGTGCAGCATAACAGTTCACTCATACATATGCATACTTACATTCTTTTTAATTGTAGGTTACTACAAGATATTGAATATAGTTCCCTGTGCTATACAAAAGAAACTTGTTTATCTATTTTATATATAGTAATTAGTATCTGCAAATCTTGAACTCCCAATTTATCTATTCCTCAACCTTTTCCCCTAGTGCGTAAGTTTGTTTTCTATGTCTGTGAGTCTGTTTCTGTTTTATAAATAAGTTCATTTGTGTCTTTTTTTTTTTAAATTCTACATACAAGTGATAGCACATGGTGTGTGTGTGTGTATATATATATATTTTTTTTTCGATTCCATATATGAGTGATATCACATGGTATTTCTTTCTTCTCTCTCACATGGCTTACTTCACTTAGAATGATGATCTCCAGGTCCATCCATGTTGCCACAAATGGCATTATTTTATTCTTTTTTAAGGCTGAGTAGTATTCCATGGTATAAATACACCACACCTTCTTTATCCAGTCATCTGTTGATTGACATTTAGATTGTTTCCATATTTTGGCTATTATAAATCATGCTGCTATGAACATTGGGGTGCCTTAACATTTCTTCACTTTATGATTTAAAGTTTTGGTTGTTCTGTTATCCTTTGCATCTTGTGCTTCTTTTCTTAAGTGGATTTTTCTTCTCCCATTGAAGTTTTTCTAACTTAATCTCTGTATTCAGTTAACATATTTAACTGTTAAAATTATCTTTTTTATTTTGCATTTTCTTAAAGCTTGATTCTTTCCTATTATGATCTATGGTCACTAATGTCATGTGGATGTTACTCTGCTCTGCTGTTTCTTATCCTTTCATTCTGTTCACCTTTACATTTTAGAGAGGTGGGCCTATAATTCATTACATGGCATTAATTTGGAGATGGGGCAAAGAGTGTAGCTCATTTCTTTATACACATGCTTTTTCTTCCCTTTCTTCAAATTCAAAATTTCCTTCTGGGATTACTTTAAGATTTGTCCTTCACTTCATGAAATTTCATTTAATGAAACCAAAAATAATCTGGATCTGACTTTTTTTTTTTAATGTAGGAACTAATAGATTTGAGGAGTCACTTTATATCCAGACATCTAGCAGTTAATCTTCACCTTAACAGTATGAGGTAGACAATAAATCCACTTTACGTGGGAGGAAACTGCACTGGCAAAGAGTTAAGAAACCGTCCCAAGATTACATAGTTAGTGGATAATTAGGTTAAATTTGACCCTCCAAATTCTCCAGTTTCTACTGTTTGATGATGCCTTGTCTGTGTGTTGTCTTAATTTTATAAATGGTGTGAAAATGAATTACAACTTAACTGATTATCTCAGAGTAGTCAGGCTTGATCTAAAGTTACCAAAGCAAGTACTCTGAAATATTAAATCTTCAACATTGCCTACTGTCTAGTCTGTTTTCTTGGAAGTTTTTTTGTTGTTTTTGGTTACTTTAAAGTTGCTACTAACTGAATACTGCCTTTAATGTCAGAGTAGGTAACATTTGGTGAAGTTCTGCCTTACTTAAAATTTTATTTTAATTTTATGTCATATGGAGGAATGATACCTAAGGGAAGCTTTAAAGAGCTATAAAAATTAATGTTTCGCTGAGACGTTTTAAAAGCAACATGTAGTTTGTTGAAATTTCTAAGTGGTAATTCTGAAACTTACTGTTTACTCTTCATAAGATGAAGCAATCCTTATTTCTTATGCTAATATTGTGAAAACATTGTGAGATGTTTAGATGAAAGGAATTACCCAGTAAAGATAAATTAGATAATTAAAAGTTCTAATTTTATTTGGCTTGCTTATGTTTTGCCACTACTGTTATTACATTACATTTACAGACCTTCCTTCAAGGAACTAAAGTATTTCACTTAATCTAAGGAACAGTCACTGCTGAAGTAGAAGATAGAAAGCACTTTTTAAAAAAAAAAATTTGAACAAAGCAGTTAAACCATGGCTGTCTGATAGATTTTAATATTTTTAAAAGCATTTTTGGCAGTCATAGGAATATCACTTTTCAACTGTTGTTAAAAGAGAAAATTGGTACTCATAATCAGAAGATTTGTGATTCTGTAACTATTTTTCAATTACTGGACTCATTGTCTTTTTTTGTTTTGCTAACTCTTCTTACTCATAGATTTGAATTGAAATGTATTCTTCAGGATACCTTCCCTAACTAGTGTACATGGTTGAAAAAATTTAGGCCTGTTTTTCCTTTTTATTGTTTTTTTTTTTTATAGCTCACCCTCAAGCAACTGCTTAAAAGTGCACAGGAAGTAAATTTTCAGTGTCCTTGCATGTCTGAAATGTTTTTATTTTACTGTTGCATTTAGGTGATATTTTGACTGGATATAAAATTCTAGGTTCAGAATAGTTTCCTTCAAAACTTTGAAGACATTTTTTCATCTGTTAGCATCCAGTGCTAAGAAGACTGTTAGCATTTTAATGTTCATTCTTTTATAGGTAATAAATTTTTTGCCCTTTCTGGAATGTAGGATGTTTTATTCTTTGTTCTGAAATTTCATAATGGGATGTGTGTGTGTGTGCACATGTGTGTGTATGCATGTGAGTGTTTCCTTTATTGCACTGGACACTCTAGCCTGTTAACCTGAAGACTAGTATCTCTTAAGGTCTGGCAATTTTTGCCTGTTATTTCCTCTCTCTGTTTTTGTAGTTTCTCTTCTTGGTCATAAACTGATCCTTTGTGCTCTACACTGGAATTTGACACAACATTGTAAAATGATTATAAATCAATAAAAAAATGTTAAAAAAATAAAAATTAAAATTAACAAAAATAAACTGATCCTTTGTAATCATTTGTCTTGTTTCTGTTGTTTTTTCTTCCACGTTCTGGGAGATTTCTTCTCGTTTATTCTCCAACCCTATTATTGAAGTTATTTTAATAATCATATGTTTAGTATCCAAGAACTGTATACTGTTTGTTGATCACTGCTTTACATATATGTTTGTGTGTGTGGGTACCCTTTTGTTGTTTTATGTCAGCGTCACTTCTCATTCTTCTAAGAATACTAGACAGTTCCTCCTGCCTTTGCTGTCAGATGTCTTTTGTATCCCCTGTATTGTGAGTCTTTCCTCCAGAATCAGTTCTATTTATTTTGATTTTTCTCTTCCGTATTACTGGTTTGCTTTATACACTAGTGATCTTTGGTTGTGTGTATTTAAGAATGCAGAACTGGCTTTAATTTTCTGCATTAATTGGCGTGATGCTCTCTGCTTTTTACTGTCTGTTTTACTCCAGCCCTTCCTCATTCTCCCTTCCCCAGGAGCTTTCCTATGAAGAGGAAGATCAGCTGAGGACTCTGTGTATGTTACAGGAGCTCTACTTTTCAGTAAGAAAATGGGGAGTTGCAGCTTTGACTTGCGTAGGATTTTACACTGGGGTGCTGACACTTGGCTACAGCCCTATTTTTATAATTTCTCTGGTGATCCTCCTTTAACTCATTGCTTATTTTGGAGTGCATTATTTAATATTCACATATTTGTGGATTTTTCCAGATTTCTTTGTTGTTTTCTAGTTTAATTCCATTGTGGTGAGAGAACATACTTTGTATGATTTTGGTGCTTTTAAACTTATTGAGACTTCTGTTGTGACCTAGAAAATGGTCTATCCTAAAGAATGTTCTAAGTGTGCTTAAGAAGAACGTAATTTTACATTGTTGGCTGGAGTGTTCTATAGATATCAGTTAGGTCTAGGTGGTGGTTAATGTGTTCAAGTCTGCTATATCCATGCTGATTTTCTGTCTTATTTGTTCTGTCCATTATTGAAAGTACATGTCTACAACTATTATTGTTGAATTTCTATTTCTCTCTTCAATTCTGTCAGTTTTTGCTCTGTTATTTGGGGGCTTTAGTGTTAGATGTATTTACAATTGGTCCATCTCTCTCATGAATTGATCCTTTTATTATAAAATTAACTGTCTCTAGTGACACTTTTATCTTAAAGTCTGTTTTGTGTGATATTAATTAATGTAGTTATTCCTGCTTTCATTTGGTTTTCATTTGCATGGTATATCTTTTTCCATCCTTTTGCTTTCAGCCTAGTTGTATCTTCAAATCTGAAGTGTCTATTGTAGACAGCATTTGTTGGATCTTATTTTTTTGTCCTATCTCACAAATTCTGCCTTTTGATTAGAGTGTTTAATCAGTTCATGGTTAACGTTATTGATATGGTTGGATTTATGCCAGTCATTTGGCTTTCTATATGTCTCATGTCTTTTTTGTTCCTTTGTCTTTTTCTGTACCTACCCCCACTTTGCTCTTTTTGGAACTCCTATTGATATGATGGACCTTCTAGAATAATCCTCTAGTTTTTAATCTTCTCTATTTTGATTTAATTTATTTAAATTGAAGTAGCCACATGTGGCTGTGGCTATCATTTTGGACGGTAGTTATAGATGTTTCCCACCATTGGCTGTGGATTCAGCATGCTCAGGTCAGTTTCTGTTTGCCCACCAGATGCCTTGCCCACCAACTGCCTTGCCTTTTTTTTCTCCCCACTCATTCTTCCTGTCCTCATGGCCTTGTGTGCTTAAAAATACACATATATCTTTACTGTAGTTTTGTGGGATTTTGGGAGGGAGCAAAAATAGATGCAGGTGTTCACCTTGTCATCTTAGATCTTGATTGTCCTAATTCCTGTCTTTGGAATCTACTCCAATTAAACCATGATGCCCAACTCTTTAGTCTAGAAATTCTAGTTCTACTAATGCAACCTATGATCTCTAATTTTTATTTTTTAATGTCTATATCAACATTGTTGATATGAGCTTTATATAAAAATCTAAATTCTTTTTATTTGTTTGTTTTAGTTGTATAGTTTTCACATTTTGTCTCCTTATTTTAAAATTTATGATATGTACTACCATGCTATGACTTCCGTAGACACAGACTTAGGGTAGTGAGTTAAAATTATTATCTTAGAATTTATATTTTTTAAATTTCTACTGTGGGGTCTGTGTGTCTTTTTTAACTATGTTTTTTCCTGATTGTATAAATAATGAAATTAGAGAAATTTTGAAAAATATAGAAAAACACTAAGCAGAAAATCTGTAATACTGGTACCTACAACATAGCTGTTATTAACATTTTGGAATACACTTTACATCACCCAGCCCTTCTGTGCAATACCTGTATTTTCCTCTTCCCTTCAGCACTCATAAATAATTAGTAAAAGCTATTTTTTATTTTTATTTTCTGATTATTTATTTTTTCTTAATGGCGGTACTGGGGATTGGACCCAGAACCTCATACATGCTAAGCATATGGTCTGCCACTGAACTATACCCACCCCTCCCAATAAAAGCTGCTTTATAATTTTTAACATAATAGTACATTGTGAATTTCTGCTAACATTAGAGTCTTTTTTTAATGCTGAAAAGAAATTTACCTTTTTTTAAACTATGCATTCTTTGACAAAAACAGCTAAAAAAGTAGTTGAACACTTGTATGGTATATGCTATGCTGAGCAAAGCAGGTACAGGCTTGCTTAAGATACAGTTTTGCCTGTTGGTACTGGACTGGATTCATATTTTTGCTATAATAAATTAAAACAAGGTCAGTTTCTTTAATAAGTTCCTTTGGATAGAGTCTAAATTGGCATATTTTTATAGAATTTCACTCACAATTGCAGTCTATAGAAAATGATGTTGTAGCATGCTTTCAGCCTATTTGAGAGTATATTAAAGGCATAGTAACTAGTTAATTTTCTCTATATTTGCCAAGTCAGTTCTTTAGATGTTCATAAAGTATACAAAATCTTGAAATTTAAATATAAGGAAGTATCTTTTAGTAGTTGCAAACTTTTTTTTAATTACAGTTTTATTGAGGTATAATTGACAAATGAAATTTTTTTTAAAAAGTATATATCATGGTGCTTTGATAAATGTATACTTTGTGAAAGGATTCCCACCATCGAGTTAATTAACACATCCATCACCTCACATATTTTTTATTTATATATTTTTCATGAGACCATTTAAGTTCTACTCAATATTTTGTTTTTGTTTCATAGACTAAGAGCAGGATTATGTGATCGCTGTGCAGTAACTGAAGAACATATGCGGAAGAAACAGCAAGAGTTTGAAAACATCCGGCAGCAGAATCTTAAACTTATCACAGAGCTTAGTGAGTTTCCTTTCTTCATTTATTAAGTATTTAAAGCATAGTATGCTGAGGTTAAAACCTATTATTAAATTTGTTACCATCAGATGGATTATTTACATATATTTTTCTTTATTTAAAAGTTCAAATGTCCTTTTTTCCCTTTTCACAGATTTAGTCTCATGCTAATTTTAGTAAGAAATAAGGTATAAAAAGGTTGTGCAAATACTGTCCATGTTGGCCTTAAAGTCTCACCAGGTGTAAAGACAAGAAGCAAATTTCTTTTGGATATGTCTGTATTTACTTCTTTGGTTTTATCTTTATTTCATTTATTTTTGGTAAAGTTAAACACAAAGCAGACTATTTAGTGTTCTACAGAGGTGTATACTTTTTTGGATTTTCACTGTTTTTTTGAACACATTACTAATAAGTATACCATTTTTAGTTTATTCTTCTTACCCACTTAATGTGGGGTTTTCTTATCTTTATCTTTTTCAAATTAATTCCATCTTTTGACTTTTCTATTAATTATATTGCTATCCTCTGGTTACATAAGCAAGAATGAACATATGTTCATTGTTTTAAAAAGAGATAGAAAGAACATAGTTCTATTCTGCTACTATTAACAATCTAATAAACATCTGTCCAGGTCTGGGTTTATCTATCTTTCTGTCTGTCTCTGACCCTCCTCATACCCCCTCCTCTCTCTTCTCTTTTAAATTTTAATGGAATCATATTACTTTCTTGTGACATGTTTTATATTATTTTAGACTATGTATTAGAAATCTTTACATCTTTATCTATTTAGGTCTATAGATTCTGTGGTTTGTGTGTATGAATGCATGATGCATTTATTTAGGAATATAAGAATATTATTGATGAGTAGAAAACTATTACATTTTAATAGACATAGTTGAGATTCATAATTGTATTATCATTAGTACTTGAAGTAAACTCCAGTCATGTCTAAAATGTAATAATCAGATTTCTAGCAACTTTAACTGTCTGAAAAATAGCCAAAAGCTCAAGCAAAAAACCTAGATGTTAAAGAGTAGACAGCCCTTTTCATGGCTACATTGTGTCGGTGTCATTTATTTACCCCTATTCTCATATTGATGGGCAGTTCAGTTTTTGGTTGAGTGTTTCAAAGTGTCCATTTCCCTACATCCTCTTCAGCTTTGGGCAGAAATGTATTAATTGATAACATTAATACCACAGTACCACTACCTCACCTACCAAAGACTACCCATTATTTGTTATTCTTTAATAGCCAGTCAGTATTCATATTTCTACAGTTGTCCATTTTCAGGTAGTTTGTAGCAGTTTTTGTTGAAACCTGTCAATCATAGATCACACGTTGCATTTGTCATTTTTTAATCTGGAATAGCTCCCTTCCTATTTTTTTCTTTTATGTCATTGACTTCTTGAAAAAGTAAGGCCATTTTCCTAAAATTATGCCACTTTCTGGATTTTTCTCATCATTTTCTTTATCTTGTTTGTTTATTTCCTGTAAAATAGAAATTCTATCTGTAGTCCAGATTAAATATTTTTGACAGCAGTGCTTCATGGGTAAAACTGTCTTATTTTGCATCATATCAGGAGCTAGATTATCAGGTTATTCCACCCTTAGGGATTGATGGCCAGACTTCTCCATTATTGAAATATATTTTCCCCTAATATCACCGAGTAATCCGATTTGGGAGGATGGATGTGTGATACTATGAAATCTTTTAGAAATACAATGCTCTCTCAATCTCTTTTTAATGGTTTTAGTATCCATTGGTGATTCTTGCCTGAATTATTTAATTAGAGATTACAAAATGATAATTTCCCATTTCTGTTGTTCTTTCTACATTATCAGCTGGCATTCTTCTGTAAACAAGAATTCTCCCTCATCATTTGGGGCTATTGGTTACCTTAGAATATAGTTTCTACTAGAAAAACATGGTACATCTTAATTTTTTCCCTTTAATTGACAATTTTCAGAGTAAGATCGTATATGAATTACCTACAATAGTGACAAATGAGGTTTTGTGTGTTGTGTATGTTTTGTTTCCTTTTGCTTTTGACCGGAGTGGGGCTTTTTGTTTTTGAGTATGATACATGGAATTTTATGTATTCAATGTGTGTCAGTCAGTTAGTTCATTGTTCTTACTGATGCTCAAATTATCTCAGTCTTGTCTGCCTACTCATCTTTTGTGATCACTTCTGTCATGTTCGTTTTGAGTCTTCCATCTTTTAAATCTTTAAATATTTCATTACTTTGTAAGATAATTCTGTAACCTGAAATACTTGAGACTCCATATCTGAGTTACTTTCCGCTGACTCCAGGGGTAAGGGAATTAGGATCACTTTGGCACCATTCCAGGAGCTGAGGCTTAAACTGGAAATCTCAAATTCAGTCCCTCCACCAGTGCTGATACCAACATCTGCTTGTTTGCTCTGCTTGGGTTTTAGCTCACAGCTTCATTTTGTTGTTGTTGATTGTGGTGGTAGTATGGGGTTCTCTTGGATTTCCTGTCCTGTGAGCTCAGCAGTTTAGTAAAAAGTATATTTTTATGCAGGATCTGGTTGTTTTGTAGTAAGACTACTGTTGGAATATTTAGTCACCTCTACTGCTGTCAAGTGTTTGCTTAGTCCAAGGAGGTTTTTTTGGTTATTTCTTTGAGTGTTTGTTCCTTTCCATTCTCTCGTTTCTTCTTCTGGAACTCATATTAAATTGATGTTGGATCCCCCTTGTGCCTAACTTTTATACTTTGTAACTTTATTCTTTTGTGCTGAACTTTAGAAGAATCACTTTGGTGGATATTATCAGTGCTATCTTCAATCACATTTATTCTTTCTTCCCATGTATTATGTTTTTGATTTTTACGATCTTTGTTTCTTTTTCATGGCATCAGCATTTGAAATCTTTCTGAAGATGTCACATATCTCTTGTTTCCTACATTAAAACTACTTATCCAAAAGTTAATTCTTCTCTTTGACTAGCTTATAATTTTTTTTAAAGATTTTTGTGTTTTTCAGGGTTTTGTTTGTTTGTTTATTGATCTTCATTGTGTATAATTGTCAGTATTTCTAGATTGATGGCTTGTTAAATGTAATCTTACTTCATTAACCCAGGGAAGAATCCTTCCTCTGCTAATAGTGAATGCAAGTTCTGACTGACAGGAGCCCTACTCCAGTGGCTGAAAGTGGGAGGGAGAACACTTGACTGGAGAGCTTTTCTGTTGGGTATATAAGTAGTTTATCTTCTGGGTATGGAAATACCTTCTCTAGTGATCACTATATGTTACTTAGAGCACTGCCCTGATATCCTTGTCTCAGTATTTATTAATGGATTCCCCTGTCTTAAAACTTCTAGATCTATGTCCTCATGGCTTTATCCTAAGAGCAACTATTAGCCACTCTTTATTTACCCATTCAGCAATTTCTGGGCCTTGCTGCCTTTAGAATTAATATGAGGTTCTGCTGGGGAAGCCCACCCCCCACTTTTTTTTTTTCAAAGGCCCTTTGTTGTATTTTGCCATCAGTCTGAACCTATCTGTTTTTAAATCATTCAGGAATTTTTTTATAGTTCTGATCTGCTGGTGGCACCCTTCCTGGCTTTTTAGTATGGCAGCTGACTTATTTTTAGAGTTGTTCTGTCATTTTGTTGGGATTTGGAGAGGGAGAATCGAGTAAACCATCTTAATCAGACAGCTAAGATCATCTTTAACTTCTCCCACCCCACAAAGAATGGTTGCCAAATAAGTACTGATTCTGCCTCTGTAACAGCTCTTCCGCCTTTCCTCAACTCTTACTTTTGCTCCTCCACATTAGTCCAGATACTCATTTCTTTTCATGATCACCTGACTAGTCAATGCTTTCTTCTCACATTGGTTTGCTATATATACCAACAAATCAATCTTCCCATCTTTCATCTCTGAAAAATGATATCTGATCATCTTTTAAGATAAAGTTCACATTTCTTAGCCTGGTTTTGAAGACTTCCTACCATTTATTATACTTAATCTTTCTTTCAACTTTGTTCCATTCTTTGCATAGAATAGTCACCTGTCCAGCTCAGTTGTCCTCCCAAATCCTCTCCTGATTTTTCTCAACGACCCAAAGTAACCTTTTTCTCCTTAGAATTTCACTTAGTATGATTAACTTCGTTTCTGAGAGGTTAATTGTACTTACTCTGATACCCTTGTCACTTTCAGTTGTAAAAAAAAATATATGTTTATGTAATTCTTGTCTCTCATTAGACTACACTTTCCTTTTGGTGCTTGTCTTATCTTAAGGTTTCCTTAAGATCCTCCACAGGAGGTAGTTTATTAACCTCACATATTGTAGCTAGTCAATAAATTTTTATGTACTCAGTGTAAGAAAATATGTTTAGATTTATAAAGCAGTAAATTATTAACAGATTTTTGGAGTATGATTAACTTTGTTTCTGAGAGGTTAATTGTACTTACTCTGACTTGATCTCTTTGATATATCCCTCCTAGTAAGGCACATACTTAACCAATGACATAATATTAAGGATTGATTAAAATTTTGTGCTGGCTGCAGTAGGAATTATAACCCAAAACTGAATTTCTGCTTTATAAATAAGGATAGATAGGAAAATTTAGTAAAGGTAGATTCAAACAAGCAGATACTACTTCATTGGATATATTTAAATTACTGTTACCATAATTATTCATAAAACAGTATGACTAATGAAGAAAATTTCCTTAATGTGCTTAATATTATAAAATTACACTGATAGTCAGTGTTGTATTTTATGATCAGATTTATTTCAAGGTAAATGACTCACTAAAATGGTATTTGAAATTAGTAGGACTGAGTAACCAGATGGAATGCTTTCTTGTCCACGGTATGAATAATTAAACCATACTCCCCAGTACATGAGGTACTCTTTCTTTTTTGCCTACAAGCATTACCTAAAATTATTAGTTAATCATTTATGTGGAACAGGTTCAATATGAGATGTAGTAATCACTACCTAGTAACAAATTAGTTTTGAACAGTAGCATGAAGCTTGACTAACATTATGACTTAGAATTTGAAATCCTAATTTCTCCGTAATTGTTGAAATTATTGAAAAAGCCTTGACATATGTGTTAACATCACTATAATGTGCTTCTTTTCCACATTATATTTAAGTGAATGAAAAGAATACTCTACAGGAAGAAAATAAAAAGCTTTCTGAACAGCTGCAGCAGAAAATTGTGTAAGTATTTTTTCTTAACTGTGGCAGAAAATTGAATATTTCCCCCAATTTCTCTTTCTTCATTTTACTTAGCTATGCAAACTGTAAAGATATATTAAGAGTTAAAGATTTCATTTTTTTAATTATAAAATGTTCTGCAATTGAAAATATAAAAATAACTGTGTTTTTGTTTCAATTTGGGAGTATATATAAAGAGCGTATGCGTCTCTTAAGTTAATGTATGAATATAAAGTATCAGAACATTTTAATTTAAAGCATTTTGATTTTTATAACTATTATAAATAATAAATTATTCAAATAAATTATTTGAAATACTTACATTTTAAATAAATGTTTGAGTTTTGTTACCTCCCTTTCAGCCTGTCCCAGAAGCTTCATAAAAGCAATCTGATTAAGTATTTCCTCTTACACACTCCTCAGGTCTGGGGAACTTCTTCCTTCTGTTCCTCTCCCCTCTCCCTCCATTTCGTTTAATAAAAAAATAGTAATTTTTATCCTGGGTACCAGTTACTCTTCTTTGTGTTTTACACTTATTATTTCTTATCCCCACTATGATTCTTCATGGTAGTTTTATTATCTCTGCTTTATAGACAAGCTAACCAAATCTCAAAAAGTAAAATGATAAGACATCACTCAGAACCCCATCTTCTGAGTTAGAGGACTCTGTTCTTTCCATTATCCAACAGTGTCCTAAAAAAAAGAATCTGTTTTTCTGGATCTAGTCTGACTGATGCAGAGCAGAGGTATGGCCAGTTCTTAGTTCCCATTTATATAAAACTTACGTAATATTTTTTAAGAGTTAGGATTCAGGATAGTCTTAATGATTTATAGGGTTTTTAAAGGCTCTGTTGCATTTGAGTGGACATCCACAAAAACTTTGGTAAGCTATGTGAACGTAACATACTATTTTGGCTTAGAGTAGTTATTGTCTTATGTGTAAACACATCTCACAAGTGGAATTAACATCTTTATAGGTATGCTTTCAAGTAGTAGATGTCCAATAGCATTTTGATATTTCCCCATGTTATCAGTCCACTGAACATTGGTAGCCAAAGACAATTTTGAGGGGGCCTAATAGATGAGGAAAGAAGGCTATGGGATCAGACTGAGGTTATCAAACGTGTATATGAAAATGTCAGCACTTTTTACTCATGGTACGTATCTGAAGTGAGGTCGGAACATGAATCCACAATCTTTTCTATATGATTCCAAAACCTGAGAGTTTTTTTTTGAAATGTTATTCACAACCTAAGCTCACCTCAACTGACAAGATGCTATTTATTATAGTCCTTACTTGTCCCACTTCCTGTGAGCATTTCTGTGCTTTGCTGTGGAAATATCAGTGTGCTTGACTACAAGATGATACCTCAGGCTCCAATGGAGGTGTTTTGTAACAAGCTGTATATTCTCTGTTTTACCCTTAATTAAAAAAAAATAATTAAATTCTGAATTACACCTGGTTCCAAAGGTTTCAGATAAGTATTTGTTAACGTATATTAATTTTTGTTATGTAAAGTAAGTTAGCAATACGGTATTTTGAGCACATCAGCCCTGATATTTATGAATACCAGAGATAAAATAACTAGTCTGTAGAGGTTAATACAGAGTTAGGTGAATGCCTCCAAAACCAAGGTTATAAAGTGTATTGAAACTAGATAATGTCATTTTCTTGGTGAAATATGAGTTCTAGTTTATTTTTTAACTAGAATTAGTTTATTTTTAACATTCTCAAAATCACAGATTTTTCTCTTGAAGCTCATTGATATTTTAGAAAAGAAGTAAAAGCTGAAGTTTGAAATTACAGTAAAGCTCAACATACAGATGAGCTCAGGGCACGTATATTTAATTCAGTACAAACCTTGCAACAGTGTAGGAGGTAATTTATTGTGTCTTTCAGTTTTCTCCTGAAATTTAAGATAGTTATTCTCAGAAGCCAACTTCTTCTGTAGCTTGCTATCCTCAAATTCCCTTTACTTTCAATTTTTAAAAAATAGCAAATATTATCTTATAAGGCAACCTAGTTTCCTTTGACTACCTAAACCACTGTAAAATCTATTTAGTGCCTGAAATTTCCCTGAACTTTGGAAAAAGTATTACTTGATTTATACTTTTTCTTACTAAATGCCGTAATTCTGACTCACCTAAGCTCTGTTTGATGTTACAGATACTTTTATGGTATGATAAGTGTTTAGTGACACTATAGTAAGAAATTATTTAGAAAAAAATTTGTTGCTACAAAGTTCAAAATATGTGTTCAACTCTACCAATCACAAAAAGCAAATAATTAAATAAGCTACACGTTGAGGTCATGACTCATTTTGTTTTGGGAAATGGATGTGATGGGCCAGTGAAAGTCAAAGACATCTGTATACACTTCAGGGCTATAGGATTCACTTCATTCAGTGCTCACTTCTAAATTGAATTCCTTATATTACTTCTTTAAGAAATAGCCATTGTTTCAACACTTCTTATACAAGTTCACTCTTTCCCAAGCCTTTTTAATTTTAGTGAGATGATACTAGTAGGAAGTTCTGCATTTGGATAGAAATCACTGTACTTGTAAGTGATACTTGCTGATTCTGATTTTGCCTTCTGGGACCACCTGGAACAAGTTTACCCCCTCTTCTACTCAATAGCCCTTTGTATGCCTGAAGACAGCTACCAGGGCCCTACTGAGTCTCATACTTTTCAGCATAGATACCCTGTGTTTATTAACTATTCCTCAGTGAAATAGCATTCCTTCAGGACTCTTCAAATTACCATTTCTCTTTAATGTTTCAGTTTATCGATATTTTAATTAAGAATTTAATTTAGTCTCCTAGATACAGTCTGACCAATAAAGTAGTACTGTCCCGTCTATTTTTCTGTATGTGGTCAAAATACATTACTGGTGGTTCCTTACTGCGTTTACTGCTAACTAGAACCTTTAAGTCAGAGTCTTCCCTGTCCTCTACTTGTAGACTTTTTGTGTCAGTATAAAAATAGAGGACTTCAGAGTCATGGCTTTATGGTAGTTGTTGAGAAAACCTTTTATCAAAAGACTCTTCATTTTAAGATAAGAGTACTATTGATTACTGTTTTCTGGGCATTGTATTACATTTGTATATATATATATATTTTTTCACAGCTTTCCTACAAAAAGGAAGTAGGAAAGTACAGAACTGTACCTACTTAATAGATGAGGTGACTGAGGCTGAGGTTAACTTACCCAGTGTGACTAGTAAGTGTCAGATGCAGGATTTGGACCCAGGTTCTACCTCACTTCAGGGTTTGTATACCCTTTCTTTAGTTTTGTGCTGAAACAGCCTTACAAGTTTGCCTGCATGGTGTCACCCTGTGTAGGTGGCAAGGCCTGAATTCTCTCTCTTCTAGCTCACTTAAGTGAGGCTTTTCTCTTTCATTTATTCTGTTCTATTTGTTTTTTTTAGATTTGGCCCATTTCAACCTCTAGGGGGTGGGTCTTTAATATGTTGATTTTTTCCCCCCACTGTGTATTAGGTCAGCTTTTATTGTCAACTTTGTGTCTTCCACAGACTTGATAAATATTCCACCAGTGCCCTGCATCAAAAACTAGTAATAAACGTTGAACAAAACCTGCCTGAGGATGGAGCCCTGAGGCATACTACCACAAGTTTCCTCAGTGATGATAATTCTTTGTGTGGTGTTCAGTCGTTTGGTGTTCAGTCATTTGGTGTTCAGTCATTTGTACCTTTGTATATCCTCTTTTTGTTTACAATGAAAAGATCACAAGAAATTCATTGTCAGATGCCTTCCTGAGAGCTAGATAAACAATATCTATATTGTTAGAAGAGCTATAACTACTTCATTAAATTTAAATTATGTTTTAACTGGAAGTGTAAGTTCTTTAGAGGAGTACAAAAGCCTGAATATTAAAAACTTTTTTATAGACTCATTAAGGGAGACCTACAGGTTTTTGGAAAAAAAGACAACTAAAAGTAGTTTGACAGGAATTTAAGGGGACGCTCTCAGGCTCTTAGAAAGAAAAAGATGACCAGTGTGCATAAATAACCAAAAGCTGTGGCATAAACTTTTAACTTTTCTCAGAAAATCAGAGTGCGACCTAATGCTTTAAAGAAGAAACTTGGTTAACAAGTTTGAAAGTTGTTTTTTTCCCCCTTTTTCTTTAATGACAAAGGAGGACAAAGCCCGCACTTGTTTACTTAGTTTAGCCACCTCTAGTTAGAGCTAGTTTTGGGTATTTTTTTTTTCTCCTTTTCCTTTTGTGATCACAGCCACTTCTAGATTGACTCTGCCAGGACTCATGACTCATTCATGTTTCAGGTTGAATTTTTATGACTAATAGGCAGGTAGTCTGTGACGTGATTAGTTACAGCAAGGTCAGGTAGATTTCATGCTCCATTAATTTGTAAGGGTTTCTCATATGACTTTAGCTTACTTTGTTTTTTCCAGATTAAGATGGTAGAATTGTAGGTAGAGAGTAAAAATTAGGTATTAGCTCTAAAGATTTCCCTCAGTATAGAACATAGGATTATAGACCATAGATAATACTGAAATTATTCAGGAAATTAAGATATAAATCTGTGTTAGAATAAATTAATCTTTGTATTTTAATTTTTAAAAAATCTCTGTTGGTCATAATTTATTAAAAAAAAGTCATTCTTTGGAAATACATAGTATTACAAATTGATACAAGTACATTAGGACAGACTGATAAAAATTAGTGGCAAATAGGATCCGTAATGGTTTGACATGGAAAAGTCAATTAAGTTAAAGTGAAATAACTTTATTTTACTTAATAACCACAATTCAGTTCAAACCCAGTCTTTAAGTGCCTTCAGTCCTGAATTGAATCAGCACAAATTTATTTTTCTAGTGGAATTTGAGAATCTCATATTCATTCATTCAACAAGTATTTATTGAGCATGTACCAAGTATGCACTGTTGTAGACACCTGTGATGTGGCAGTGAACCAAAAAAGATCTTTATCCTCTTAGAGCTTATATTCTGGCAGGTGAGCAGTAAACAAACCAATGTTAGAAAACAATAAATGCCATAGATAAAGTAACAGCAGAGTAACAAGTAACAGAGTACTAGGGTGTGGGAAGGGGGCTGCAGTTTTAAATAGCATGTTCAAAGCTAGCATTGATGAGAAATAGAACTCCAGCAAACACCTAAAGGAGATGGGATAATTAGCCATGCAGTATCTGGGGATGAGCATTCCAAGCAGATGAAACAGCTAGAACAAAAAACCCAAAGTAGGAGTATGCCTGGTATTTTTGAGGAGCCTCGAGGAAGCAAGGGTGGCTGGAGTGGAATATAATATGAAAGTGGTGCAGAGAGGTCATAGGAGAAGGGGGACAGTCATATCACACAGGACCTTGTGAATCACTGAAAGGACTTTGGCTTGTGTTTTCAGTGAAGAGGGGAAATGTGGCAAGTTTTAATCAGAAGAGTGACATATTAGGACTGTTCTGACTGATGTGTTAACGGTTGATCTTAACGGTTTCTCAGCTCTATAGTAGGGATAACACATTGAGTACTTAACAGTATTGTCCTGGGAGTCTGGCTGCCAGGACTTAGATCCTGGTTCTGTTACTGTTGTAGTAAATGACTTAACTTCTGTATCTTTATTTTCTATTTTTAAAATGAGGGTAATAATAAGTAATAAGAGAATTATACTCTGTACTCTTATTATATATTCTCAATAATGAGTTTAATAATTAATAAGTAATAAGTAATAGTAATAATGAGGAGTAATGCTCTGCTTCATGCAGTTCCAGCTTCCTTCTCTGACACATGTACACAGTACTGCCTGCCTGTACTCAAACTTGGAGGATCCTCTGCTGATTTTCTCTGCCATTTGAAATCCCTATAATTTTACCTAAGGTACCACAAACTACACTTGCTACTTTACTTCTCACAATACTGTTCCACACCTGGTACTCTGATCATTTGAGGACTTCTCTAATCCTTATATTTAGACTTGAAACATTAGATGCAAGGAATTACCTCTCTTACAGCTTCATACCTCTATTCTGCCATGGTTCCTTAGTTTATGATAGATGTTTTAATAAATATTTGTTTAACTGGTGTTCTTTCAATTGTCCTTATTTTCCTCTAGGAATAATCAACATCAAGCAACTGACCTTGAATCTGAGGAAGATGTTATTCCAGATTCACCGATAACAGCCTTTTCATTTTCTGGTGCTAACCGGCTACGAAGAAAGGAGAACCTCCATGTCCGATACGTAGAACAAACACATACTCAACTGGAGCACTCTGGGTGTGCAAATGGTGAGGACTGGTTTCTCTAGTTCTGTTTGAAAAAAAGAAAGGTATTTGTCTGTTGTTAGGAATATAGTCATTGTTCAGGTAACTTATGTTACAGCTGTAAGTTTAACTTCCATTAGTGCAGTGTCTGGGAGAGCATTTTCTGCCTGTATTATGTATAGATATGCATTGTTCATCTTAATATGTAAGAGCGAAGCATTTTACAAATGTAGTGAATAGTTTTTTCCTTTTTTTTATTTGAAAAATAATCCTATGTGTATATACCTGAACGGGATAGAAGGAAAGAGGAAAGTAAACCTAAGTTCCACCTACTGTGTGCCAGTTATTATGCTGAGTGATTTGAATACATTATTACTATATTTTAATTCTCATGACAGGTTTGTGAGGTAGCTGTTAGCACCTTCATTTTATAGATGAAGAAAGATTTGCTCTTTAAAGGGGTTAAATAATCTGTCAAGTAAGCAGATGACATAGATCTTCCTGGCTCTAAACTTTTGTATTTTCCAAGTCTTACCCGCAGCTACTCCCACCAGTAGCTGTAACTAGCTACTTTTATTTGTTATAATATGTGGCAGTTGGTAGTAAATCAAGAAGTGGCTTTATAACGTATCTACTTTGTGGTTTATCAGTGGCATATTTCTAATTCCAGGCCCAGTTTACCATTTCTGCTAAATGCTTTGGAACTACCTTTTCATTATAGTCCTGAAATTTATCCTGTGACATGATACAGTGCTGGGTTTTTTTTAACTTTTTTTCGTTACTTTTAATATTGATCTAAAAATAAGCAGTAAAGACTTTCATCTTTAACCTTAACTGTTTGTAACAAGGAAAGCATTGAGGGGAAGGGGTATACATAGTTGTAGAGATATTTTTATAATGCAGATAAGTTGCTAACAGTAGCTATACCTTAAAAAAAAATAGTAAATCCTAATCTTTGATATGAAAAAACTGACAGTTTTTGCTCTATTTTATATGGGCTTGCATCACCATCTAGTGGAAAACAAAAGAACTGTTTAAAACAACCTTAAATATAATTAGCAAAAAAACTATAAGATCATCAATCTGGAATGAACATTTGTGGGCCTTTTAGTCTGCTGTCAGACAGGACATGAATCACTACAGATGAGCATCAGCATAATTTAGATCATGTTTAAATCCATCGGAAAGAATATCTAGGAAAACAAATCTTAGCAATTTTCTCTTTATTAGGGAAGCTGTCTTTTGTACCTAGTAAAAATGCTTTTGGCTTATTTATTTATTGTATAAGAATAACCTGTAACTATTTAAAACTTAATTTGTCAGTTTTAATCTTGTTCTGCTCATTTTTACTTGGAATCTGACATTTCGGTTTTAAAATACAAGATCGCTTTTGAGCCATGCAAATTATTTTAAAACTAATTTAATGACTAATTATTCCTTTTCTCTTTCTAATCATCCATGCTTGTTTATTTTAAAATTTATAGTACTTTTTAATGATATTTTCTACTTATAATTAGTAAAAGTCTGTTTCCATTTACTTTGGTCCTTCTCTTGGTTTTCTTTGAACTAAACCCTTCAATAGTGGAATGATTTCTGATAAAGCATGTTTCAGATTTCCTACCAGAAAATAAAAACTAAACAAAGATTGAAAAGCTCTGTGATGCAGTATTCGTTTCAGATGGACCTACTGATTTGCAGCAATACACAAGGAAAAGATACATTAAAATATTACAACCCTACAAGGCTTAGGTCAGAAGCAGCTTACCTGTTCTGGTCTTCTCTCTCCCACTATCTTAACTTCCATCCAGCTTTGTTTCTTAGTGAAACTAAAGGAATAAACCTTTTATGAGAATATTAAAATTATGTCAATAAAATGCGCTTCTAATGCATTTAAAGATAGGTTTGTATTGGGTTATCTATTTTCTTCATGATTGTTTATATATAATCTCTCCTCTTTTTTCTCTTAGAATTGAGAAAAGTTCCAAAGTCTTCAACTCATCCACAACATAAACCTAATGAAACTGAAATTCTAGTGGCTGACACTTGTGATCAGAGTCAAGCTCCAGTGGCTAGTAAGCAAGATACTGAGATTACTTCATAAGTTTAAAATTTGAGGTTATTGGTGGGCAAGAACAGCCAACTGTCTGAATTGGATAGTATTTTAAAATATTTTTCATATAATTTTGTTTGCATTACTTGTTGTTTAGCAGTCTCTTTCATATTGGAAAGTAATGTTATCTTATTATTAATTCATATTTTTATCCCTATCCATGTTAATCAAGTCTAGCTAATAATTTTAAGTAAATAAGACTTTACTGTGCTTTGCTCATTCATTCAACAAATAATTGAGTGCCCACTGTATACCAGACACTAAACAAGACAAAACCTTTAACCTCCTAGAGCTTACAATCTGGTTGAGGGAGAAAGAAAATAAACAAAGAAATGTTAGGTGAAGCAGGGGCTCTGAGGAAAAATAAAGCAGGGTGAGAAGAGATATTAGAGAGCCTCACTTTAAAACTGACATTTGAGCAGATTCTAAAGGAAGCAAGTGAGTCTTGTGGATATCTGGGGGGAAGCCATCCCAGGTGGAGAAGTCAGTGAACACAAAGGCCTTAAGGTGAAGGTGCTTTTGGTTTTGTTTGAAGAACACTAAGGAACACTTGTGTGGCTGGGGCAGAGTAAGTGAAGGGCAAGTGTGTTCTTTAGAGTTGCTGTTTGCTAAGAAGAAAGAGACTGAGCAGCAGGTTTGCAGGGTGGGGGTGAGATTAGCAGTGGTTAGAAATCTGGAGTTTGGTTTTGAGACTCTTGTGTTTCAGATGTTGGATAGACATTCAGATAAAGATTTTGGATGGGTAGGTGGGTATGATTGTAGAGAAGTCTAGGAGAGAGATGTGAATGAAAGTTGTCAGCATGTAGGTGGTATCTGAAGCTGTGAGACTGGATGAGATTACCAAGCAAGTGAGTGAATATGGGGATGAAAAGAAGTTTAAATACTCAGCCCTCAGACACTCCATTATGTCAGGGAGTGAGCCTCAACAATTTTTTATTGGTCTGTGCTCAATAACTCCTTTCTGTCAACTCCCATTTACTCCAAAAAGAGAAAGAAAGGGGTGCAGGGGAAATGAGGAAGGAGACGGAAGAAGAGGGGTAAAGGAAATACATTCTCACGCTCTCTTCTCTTTCTCATACATTGAAACTGCTCTGGGAAAAGTCATCAGTGACCTGGTTGTTAAATCTAGTGAGTGCTTCCCAGTCCTTACCTTACTTGACCTTTCTGTGACGTTTGACATCGAGTACTCTCTCAGAGTGGTGCCACTCTCCTGATTGTCTTGCTTCTTACTGTTCCTTTTTCACCTTCATTTGTTGGCTAGTCTTTCTCCAGCTGTCTTTTAAATGTTACTGCCCCCAGTATATATGATCCTTGGCCTGTTCTCTGATTTTTTTCTTTCTGGAGGAATCTTCAGTTAGAGTAAGTATTCTGCTGTCACCTATATGATAATAAATTCCAAATCTATTTCTCTGAGACTTTTCTTCTGGATTCCAAACAGCCAGTGTATGTGTCTGCTGTTGAACATCTGTACCTGGGTATCCTTCCACTTCAGCATGTCTAAAGTTGAAACTTTCCTGTCAAACCTACTCATCCTTTTATTTACAGTTTCAGTGAATGACACTTTACATACCTCTGAGTTACCTAAATCAGAAAACTTTGAGTCACCCTAGACTCCTGCTTCTTCAACTCACATAGCTAAATAGTCACCAGATCTCATCCATTGCACCTCCTACATGTCTGTCGTACACACTCTTCTGCACCCCCTTTGTACTAGTTTTGGCCATCGGCATCTCTCATGTAATCTGATTAATCCCTTTGCCTATTAGTGACGGCTGTTTGTTGTCAGCCTGTCTGAATTACCATTTTAGCCCAAATATTGCATCTGTTTTCCATTAAAAACCCTTAGATATCTCTTCATTGCCTACAGGATAAATTTTAAGTTCTTCAGCATAATCTGATCCCTCATCACCTGTCTGGGCTCATGTGCTACTACTGTTACATATTTTACACTTTGATTTCCAGCAGTTGGACCACATGTTGTTCCCTGAACATGTAACTTTGTTTCACATATCGGACCCTTACACATGGCTAGAATCCTTCTCTCTGCCCCCAGCCCAGTTTAATTCCTTTTCCTCTCAAGGATCAGCTTAGGCCTCACTTGGTAAGCTTTCCTTGGTTTCTCAAGGCAGATTTGAGAGTCTTTCCTCTGTGCTTAAATCACCTCTTTTATGTACCTTTAATGTTTATCACATTTTATCACAATTCTCTTTTTACCTTTCTTGGTTCAACTAGAGCAGCCCATAAGCTCCTTAAAGACAAGAACTCTTTCTTTTCGTATAGTGCCTAGCACAGTGCCTGCAACGTAACATGTGCTCCATAAGTGCTTGTTGACTTACTGAAACTGTATGCATAAAACTTTATAAAATATTTGAACACAGGTGATTTCCAAATAAATATGTTAGCTTAAAACTTGAAATGGTGCAGTGCTGAAACTCTGCCACAAAATATGTTTTCATGAAAGGTACTATATAAATGTGGTTTGATATTCATGCTGTATCTTATGTCACAAGAAATACATATAATTATATAATTTTTATGATTTTTCGCCCAGTGGCAATAAGAAAAACAATCTACCTGTTGCATTCAGTTCATTTAGGAAAAATAGAAAACCTAGCTGAAAAAGATATTTGCAACTTACTGCCATTTACAGTAGATATTTTTGACTTTTTACACAGTTTTAAAATTTTTTCTGTGCCATCTTGTAAAGTGGTCCTTTGATCCTTTTTCTTTCCTTTTTTTGTATTTTTCATACATCTATTTTCTGTAATTGTATAATTGATTGTTTTTTTTAACTTAGAAACACATGGAACAAGCAGTTACCCTGCTGACAATTTAGCTACAGTTGTTGCTGAAACACTTGGACTTAGCCTTCAAGAAGAATCTGTAAGTAGTTTTTTAGTTTGGTGATAATATGAATTAGTGTCTTTGTAGGTCAGTTTTTAGAGAATTGAGGGAGAAATTATTTTATCCAAAGATTATTGGATAAAGGCTTAGAACAAAATTCATGTGGCTAGAAAAGCCTGTTTCTATTATCCACCCCATGTCATTCCAGAAATCCTGAGTCTTCAGAATTCTTGGGATAAAGGTTGTGAGTTGAGTCAAAATTTAGAGAAGTAATGATGGCTTAGAGGATTTGACTAACCCTCTTCCCTGCCCCTTCTCTCCTCCACACCCTCTTCCAACTAGGGGAAGACTTTAAGAGAAGACTTGTTGATTTCAGAATTTATGGGATCTTTTCAACACCCTTTAAACCAGAGTTTGATTTGGAAAACAGGCTGAATTCTTGGGTCTACTACAGATGCTTTGATTCTTTGCGCCAATCCAGTTAGACTAAATTCTTAGGGATTGAGATAGAAATTGACCCCATGATTTTCTTTTCATTATTTTAGTGCTTCCTTACATCAGGCACATTTACTTTTTTCCCTAACTGATCCCTAAAAAATGGAAAACTTGTGTTCTTCAACCTTAAGAAAATTTCAATTTGATACAACATTAAAATAGTATTCTTTTGCTTTAGTCAGTAAATGTGTGTATGCTCTTATAAAATTGCCTTGCTGTTGAATTCCTAAAAATTGAATTGGTTTTTTTACTATGTTTGGATTTTCTTTTTCTTATTCTTTTTTTTTTTTTTTTGGTACTTTCTAGTTTTAAATCTGTCTTCAAGTGATAGTGGGTAGTTTTTAATTTTGAGCTTTAAATGTGTTTTAATGGTTTCTAGTTCCCTCTTACCCTTAAACCTGGCACGTCAGTAGTTCAGGCACCAAATATGTTAAGGAAACTGATCTCTAATGACTTGCTGCTCAAAGTGCTCAAGTCAGCAGCATCTGCATCCCTGGAAGTTTGTTAAGAGATAGAGAATCTCAAACCCAACCCCAGAACTTCTATTTTCAGCAAGATCCACAGTTGATTTGTGTGCATGTTAAAGTTTAGGAAGCACTGTTCTTTAAAGGGTCCTTTTAAGTTTATCTCCTTTAAGTATGAAAATATAATCATCTCTGTTCCCTTTCTTTCATCTAAATAATGTTTTTTGGAATTGGCAGCCACCAGTCTGCTTTCTGTCCTTACAGATTTACCTATTCTGAATAATTTATATAAACAGTATCATATATGTGGGGTTTGAGTTTGGCTTCTTTCACTTAGGCTATTTTTGAGGTTCATCCACATCATAGCATATATCAGTATTCCATTCTTCCTTAAGAATAAATAATCTTCCATTGTATTTATGTACTTTAAATGTTATTATTGAAGGAATCTCGAGGCCCCAGGAGCCCTCTTGATGATGAACTCTACCACTGTCTGGAAGGAGATAACAAGAAGCAACCTTTTGAGGAATCTAGAGGAAATAGTGAAGATAGTTTAAGGTAATTTGGGGCATTTTGGTAAAAACTTATAAACTGTCAGTGAGATTCTGTTACAGTAAGTTCCATATACTTGAACTGTTTCTCTCCCACGGCTTGTTACTCTGGTTGTATTAGTTTTTATTTAAAAGGCTGTTTCCCCCAGTTTATGACCAGTTGAGGGCTTTTGGCTTTATTGGAGAGAGATGGGTATTATCTTCAGGTTCTTTCTGTACTTCTAGCAAGCAGTACTTGAGAGGTCGCAGCCTTGTTACTCTGCCCCTTTAAAGATCCAGTCATGCCTTCGAGGTTTGCATTTTCAAAAGCTGGATGTTGTATCAGATCCACTGTAAGCTTGAATGAGCCTCCAAGCTTGTGTCATGTCTTGTTTTTACTAATTTCAGAATATCCATTAACTGACAATACCTACATTTATGTAGCATTTTGCTTTTTAAAAGAGCTTTCAGTATTAGATACATATATCATATTTAATTTGTCATCATAGTAACTCATTAAAATAGGTTTTATTACCCCCATTTTTTACAGCTGACAAAACTGTAGCATCACAGAGGTTAAATGTCTTTTTAAGGCCACACAACTATTAAGTATTAGAGCCAGAGCTCTTACCCATTCTGTGTCTTCAAACTTAACTCTAAGGCTTTCTTTTTTTTTTTTTAATTGAAGTACAGTTAGTTACAGTATGTCAATTTCTGGTGTACAGCATAATGTCCCAGTCATGCATATATATACATATATTTGTTTTCATGTTTTTTCATGAAAGGTTGCTACAAGATATTGAATATAGTTCCCTGTGCTATATAGAAGAAATTTGTTTTTATCTATTTTTATATATAGTGGTTAACATTTGCAAATCTCAAACTCCCAAATTTATCCCTTCCCACCCCCTATCCCCTGGTAACCATGGATTGTTTACTATTTCAAGTCTATTTCTGTTTTGTAGTTGAGTTCATTAGTGTCCTCCTTTTTTTCTTTTTCTTTTTTCTTTTTTTAGATGCCACATATGAGTGATATCACGTGGTATTTTTCTTTCTCTTTCTGGCTTACTGCACTTAGAATGATGATCTCCAGGTCCATCCATGTTGCTGCAAATGGCATTATTTTTAATGGCTGAGTAATATTCCATTGTATAAATATACCACAACTTCTTTATCCAGTCATCTGTCGATGGGCATATAGGTTGTTTGCATGTCTTGGCTATTGTGTATAGTGCTGCTATGAACATGGGGTGCATATTCTAATGTTCTTTCTACTACCACATCCTTTTCCTCTGCTAAAGGCAGCCTGGGTCTTAAGTTATGTTCAGTTTTCTAGGGTAAGAATTTTGTTTCTTGCAGTTAACTCAAGATAAGATTTCATAACAACAGAATTTGGGTCCCCAGTGGGATTTATTAAAGTATGATTCTCTTATATAGTGATTTTATTTAAGTTACTTAGAAAAAATATATATAGATGGAATATCATGGTATTGAGATAAGTTTGCTGTATCATTTTCCTGCTTTTTTGTCAGCCAAATAAAGAGAAACCTGCAGTTATACTGTGTCTTAAACTTTGGTTAATGGTCTGCCTCTAATATGTGAATAAGACCTTACTATTAATAATTCTGTATTAGCAAAAGTTTTCTCATTATGCCTGTCTTATAATTTTTAGCCTATTTCTTTAGTAAGAAAAAAGTTTTACCACTTTTTTTTTTTTTTTAGATTTTCAGATTCTAATTCAAAGACTCCTTCTCAGGAAGAACTGCCTACTCGGGTGTCATCGCCTGTATTTGGAGCTGCCTCGAACGTGAAAAGTAGTTTAGGTTTGAATACAAGTTTGTCCCCTTCTCTTTTAGAGACTGGGAAAAAGACCCATCTGAAGATAGTGCCTTTCAGCAACACTTCTCATTCCAGATCAGAGAAGCTTAGATCAAAATCTGAAGACAGTGCCCCTTTCACACATCATAATCTTGGGTCTGAAGTGAACAAGATCACCAACCAGTCATCTTCTAATAAGCAGATGCTTATAAATAAAAATATAAGTGAACCCACAATGGGACAGGATAGTATTGATCCCATTAAAGATACTGTTACTGATAAACATGTGGTACCCTTGAAATCATTGGTAGGCAGAACCAAAAGGAAGAAAATCGAGGAAGAAAGTGAAGATGAAGTATGCTGCCCCCAAGCCTCTTTTGATAAAGAAAATGCTTTTCCTTTTCCACTGGATAGTCATACTAACATGAATGGAGACTATGTGATGGATAAACCTCTGGATCTGTCTGATCGATTTTCAGCTGTTCAGCATCAAGAGAAAAGCCAAGGAAGTGAGACCTCTAAAATCAGATTTAGGCAAGTGACTCTCTATGAGGCTTTGAAGCCTGTTCCAAAGGGCTCTTCCTCAAGCCGTAAGGCCTTGAGTGGGAGCTGTGGGTTAACCAAAGATTCCCCAGAAGAGCCCTGTTTACAGGAGTCCCTCCTCCAGTCTTTGAACAAATCTCCGGATAATAAAACACTGTTACAAATAAAGGAAGAAAATCCTATCTTTAAAATCCCTCTACGTCCACATGAAGGTTTGGAGACAGAGAATCTTTTTGATGACATGAAGGTTTGTGTTAAATATTCAAGGATTTTGATTTAAATGGTTGTTTGTGATTTCACCTGGATGCTAATAATTCTTTCTGCTCTAGGGTGCTGGTTCTCATGAACCAATAAGAATCAAAACCAGATCAGTCCATGGAGCATGTGAACTTGCATCAGTTCTTCAGTTAAATCCATGTAGAGTTGCTAAAACAAAGTCTCTGCAAAACAACCAAGGTGTGTACACTATAAATAGTATTTCCATTGTTTTTCTTTATGACTTTAAATTGAGTATTGTAATATATTATTTACATTCTTTGAATAGATTGACTTGTTTTAGGAAAAAATACCATATCCCAGCATGTTTCTGTGTTTATGGCATGATTCTTACTGGTTTCATTTTAAATGTGATTTTCCTACTTTGCTGCTTTTTGAAAAAATAGACATCTTTAATACCTCCTGATAGGTGATTTTATAAATGTATCTATTTTATGTAGTTATTTCTTATTTTCTTTACAAAAGCTTTAAAAAATTTAAACTATACAGACTTTTAAAATACAAAAAGTGGAAATTTATCATGCAGATCTTGTTCCTCACCCCATAGGTCTCCTGTCTTTTTCTCTGCATTTACATATGTATCTATAAACATATGCATGTATTTTTTATGGGTTATTAAACTCTTGTTTGAAAACAGTGCTCTAATATATATGTGAATCTTTTCATAATTTTGCTGTGTTTAAAAGGAGACTTTTTGGGTTTTTTAGCCACCAAATATTTCTGTGCTTCACATTCCATACTTTTTCTTTTACTCTTCATTGTAAACTTACTCCTTCATTCTGGGTTTATTTTCCTTTTTTCCTAAAGCACATTCATTAGTTATTCTTCCAATGAGGGTTTTAGTCTCTGTAGAAAGACTTTATTTCACTCTCATTCCTGATTTTTTAAAATCTTTTTGTTTTTATTTTTTTCTTGGTTGCTCTAGGGATTGCAGTATACCTGCTTAACCTTTCACAGTCTACATAGAGTTAATGCTGTACCACTGTATGTCCTGTAATTGAAAACTCCTCCAGTGTTACAATTTTAACTTAATTTTTTTAATTGAAATAAAAATCAGTCAGTTATAAAATGTACAGTTCAGTGGTTTTGGTCTAGTCACAGAGTTGTGCCACTATCGTATAGTCTAAGTTTAGGATATTTTTTACACCCTAAAAAAACCAGTACTCATTAGCTAGCAGTCATTCTCCATCTCTCTCCCTTCTTCCCTAATCCTAGGCAACCACTTAATCTACTTTTTGTCTCTATAGATTTGCCTATTCTGGAGTTTTCATATAAATGGAATCATACAATATATGATATTTTGTGACTTCTTTCACTATTTCCTTTTTTCACTATTATGAATAATGCTAGGTTGAGCATTGATACACAGTATTATGTCAATGTATGTTTCATTCTTCTTGAAGTCTCGATAGGAGTAGGATTGCTAGGCCATCTGCTAACTCTGTTTTTAACCTTTTAAGAAACTATCTGACATTTTTCCAAAGTAGCTGCGTCATTTTACATTCCCACCAGTGGCATGTAAAGGTTCTAATTTCTCCACATCTTCACCAGTACTTGATACTGTCTGTCTTTCTCTGGGTGTGAAGTTGAATCTCATTGTGGTTTTGATTTATTTGCCTTTTCCTGATGGCTAATGATGTTGAGCATCTTTTCATGGGCTTATTGGCCATTTGTGTATCTTTGAAGGACAGTCTATTCAGATCCTTTGCTTAGTTTTAAATGCAGTGATTATCCTACCGAGTTGTAAGGGTTCTTCTTATATCCTAGATACAAGTCCTTTACCAGACAGGATTTGCAAAACTTTTCTCCCATTCTGTGGGTCCCATAATGTTTTAAAGTGATGAGAATTTTTAAAATCCGTTCTAATTGTATATTTTTTTCTCCTTATCTAAGATGTATCCTTTGAAAATATCCAGTGGAGTATAGATCCTGGAGCAGACCTTTCTCAGTATAAAATGGATATTACTGTGATAGATACAAAGGTAAGTTAGAAAGTAGAACCAAAGCCCGTATGGTTATTCCAGTCCATTATGAGTCACCCTGCTCTCCTCACTAACTCTGTGACCCTGAGATAACCATATACCTCTCATATACTTCATTTATTTATTCTGAAAACTAAGAAATAATACTACTTATTATTCCAACTTGATAGTATTTTTGAAAGAGTAATAATATTTTCTGACTTTAAAGATCTTTGCTTAAAAATACAGGTTTAAAATAATGCAAAATGCTAGTTACATATTTTAAATAATTTCTTTATCAAAATAATCCATCATATTCCTTGATTAACTTCATCTGCTCTCAAGAAAAGAATTTCATTTTCCCAGTTGGCTATTTTTTAAAATACTTCGTATTTTTTAAAATTAAAATTCATAGCAGAAATAACTTTTTTAGCTTATATTTAGGTTCTACATAGTTTGAGGAGTTCTCTTTCACTTGGTAGCATGTTAATAAGTATTTAACAGTTGCTAGAGTAATATATATCTGTCAAGAAATCAAACTTGATCAATGAAGTTTTGTTCTTGGTGTACGTTGATGTTTATTTCTGAGAGGCCGATTGGAGAAGACAGGAGAAGTTCCAGGGATTTTGGTAGCACGTAACTCTCTTCCTTGGTAGTAGTCCTTTTCCTAGGCTTGAGAGAATTGCTCGTGTTATGGGTATGTAGAAGCTAAAAATGTTTTACAGGCAGTTAAACCAAAATACGTCTATATTCCTAAAGGCTAAAGGTAAATATAACTTAATGCTACTAAGATGTAAGTGTCGCTTAAAAAAATAGTTAAAATGGTTACATTTATGTTATGTATATTTTATCCCCCCTCAAAAAAAGTAAATGTAAGGCCACAGGGAATAATTGTTAAAATTTTGAATTTTTAAATGTTTATTTAGGATGGCAGTCAGTCAAGATCAGCAGGAGAAGAGACAGTGGACATGGACTGTACATTGGTTAGTGAAACTGCGCTTTTAAAAATGAAGAAGCAAGAGCAGAAGGGACAAAAAAGTCCAAGTAAGATTTGATTTTTTCCTTAATTTTAATACAAATGTGGAGAGGAGTTTATAGTCATTACCATTGCACTGATGAGCACAAGTGACCCCTGCACCATAAACCAGTTCCCCCCCCCCCCGTTCTCATAACACTAGAGTTCTCTTAGTAAAGCTTAGTTTCAATACTTCAGGAAAAAAACATCTTTAGTAAAAATAATTTTTATTTCCGAAAGAATTCAAGTAGTTTCCAGGAGCCAGCAAACTATGGCCGGCTGCCAGTTCTGTAAGTAGTGTTTTACTGAAACCCAGCCTCACTCACTTGCGTATTTATTGCCTGTGGCTGCTTGCGTGGCAGAATAGCAGAGCTGAGTAGTTTCTGCAGCGACCCTGTGGCTCCACAGGTCTAAAGTATTTATTAATCCTTTAAGAAAAAGTATGGTGACCCCTGGTTTAGATAATTTTCTATAAAAGCTGTAAAAGGGACTCTTGAGACTCCTGTTTTAGAAATACGATTTTCCGAAGCAGTTTGATAAGGAAAGGGGTGGGGGCGGTCCACTGAGAAGTCTTGGTACAGATCTGCAGATTAGCAGTAAACCAGGAATGATGGTGCATATAATGAGCGCTATATTCTGCTTCTGTAGAAAGGGGGATTTGGCTAAACTAGCTCTTTGTAGTGAGAAACTCTTAATTCTTCACCTGACGCCTTGATTTTCTGAAAGAGGCAGAGTAGGAATGATGGAAAGATTTTGGTTGGCACCACCTTAGCAACATTCGTAACTACAGGAGGCACATGACATGAGATGAACTAGACTGGGAATAGCTGTCATTCGTCACCCTTATGTGTTGAAGGGTTAGGACCTGCCTAACATGAGGATGCAGTGCTAAAAGCAGAGGCATTTTCCAGTGATCATCTGTTAAAAACTGAGGACATTCAGACTGTGTCATTTCCATCTTCTGCTGAACATTCTCTAGTCTACCTGCTCAGGGCCCAATAATAAAACAGCCAGTCTTGTCCTTGCTTCTTACGAAACACCTTCTCTCTCACTGCACCAAATGCAGCGAGAGAAAATTTTAATAGCCTTTGTCTTAATTCTTTGTTCTTTAGTAATGAATAATTATCCGTATGATCAAGTAACTGGCTGCCTATGTTTAGAGGACAGTACCTGTTAAAAGAAAAACCTTAACAGTGATTTATTGTCTTTTTTTATAGTGAAGGACACTTAACTTCCTTCTTAAGAAGAGAACTTTGCTTTTAAATTATTTTATTCGTGGTACCAGCTCCTGATAATGTTTTCCTCAGTGTTGTAGAAAAGGCGAGAACTAAATTATGATAGCTTTAGTTTCAAATATATCTAGTTGATCTAAGAAGATGATAATTTCCCAAATAGATTTGAAGCAAGTATCATATGGAGGTGAGGTAGTAATTTTGACTAAATAAAGTGTTACGAATATTACTGCTATATAGTAACTCACTCCGATGATACAGAGGGTTAGAAACACCACCACCACCTTCTCGTCTTTCGTAGTTTCCATGCCTCAGGAATTCAGGAAGGGCTGGGCTGAGTGTTTCCTGTCTCAGGGTATGAGACCGGTATAGGCAGACAGATGGTGGCTGGAGCTGGAATGGCAGAGGGCTCTTCAAATGGGAGAGACATGGCATCTTTCTCCTCATTCTCTCCGGGCTTCTACATATGTATGATCCTTCCACATAGCCTGGGTTGAGTTTCCTCATCACGTGGAGACTAGGCTCCCAGAGTGACTGTCCCCAAAGAGCAAGGCAGAAGTGCATGGCATTTTTGTGATCTGGACTCAAAAGTTGCAGAGTGTCACAAAGACCTGCCCATGTTCAAAGCAAGAGAGCATGGCCCTCACCGCTCAGTGGGAGGAGTGCTAAGATCACATTATAAGAATAGCACGTGCAGTAGGACATTGTTGAGCCCATACTTGGAAAAAAACAGTCTACCTATTTTACCCAGAAGGCAGATATTTTAAAAACCTAGAACTGGTTGAAAAATAAAACATACCAATAAAACTCCCAATTACTGCTAATATTGCTATTCAGAAAACGTTTTTACATCTCTGGTCTGTGTTAGACTTACTAGATGCTGTGATAGATCAGAACGGATATAGTCTCTGTCCTCAAGTATTTTATAATCAGAAGTCAGACCAAGAGAAAAAGGAAGCCCGTAACGTACTGTGATTCACTAACAGCATATACAGAATGCTTTGTTTTGGGAATGCCCAGCACACTGCCTGGCATATAGAAGTTACTTTTACTTACACGTTTGACCCTCAAAGTGAAAAACAAACACATTTTTAACCATCAAGACCCAATTCTCTGTTGGGAGCTGGAGATAGCAGTAAAGAGAACAAAAGTACCTACCTCATGGAAGTTACACTGTACAGACGAATGTGGCGTGGTGGACGATGGTAAGTGGCAGTGCCAGAGAAAAGCGAAGCGGGGCGAGCTGCTAGAGCACCTGCACTGGGGAAGGCGGTAGTCATTTCACAGAGTAATCTTGGCAGGCTTCAGTGTTGTCACATTTGTTAGCCAACTGGATCTATCTGTGTTTTTAGTAAACTGATGTTTTTAAAAATGGTGATTATTTAATGGAAATGTAGTTAGTACTCTGAAGATGAAGTTGGCACTTTGCATATCAAATATGGAATTGAATTCATTATTTCTATAGCACTAAACTACCAAGTGTTAATGATAATGCAAGAAAATACTTTTTCTACCACGTTAGAAAAATAAGCAAATAAAAATCTATCAAGATTTTAATGTCAGTCATTTATACACAGTTTATTTAAACTTAATATTTTTCACCATTTATTATGCCGTGTTTTCTGTTCCTCACAATTCCTTTTGGTAATTCCTTTTGGTTTAGCATGAATTATACATGAGGTGATACAAAAAGATTTTTTTAATGTTTATAATGACAATAACAAAACCTAGCATTTTCTTCACACGTATAAAGGATATTTAAAGGCATAACATAAAGCCATTGTAAATGTGCAGTAACTACCCAGACTAGGAGTTTATTCTTGCCTCATACATACCTGAATTATTTTGTGGCAGTTCCTACAAGTTTCACATTGGTCTGTAGAAAGCAAAAAGCTTGCTTGTTGCCTAAGTCAATGCTCTTTTACATAGACGGAGAAAGAAAAATGAACGATAGTTTGGAAGATTTGTTTGATCGGACTACACATGAAGAGTATGAATCCTGTTTGGCAGATAGCTTCCCTCAAGTAGCAGATGAAGAGAAGGAATTGTCAGCTTCTACAAAGAAGCCAAACAGTAAGGCAATTTTCTTTCTAATTATGGTTTTTCTGTTACACTGAGTTTAATAAATTAAGTCATCATGCTAATTAATAGAGGCTTAATGAGGTATCAACAATTAAAGTTTCATTTTTCTTGAATAAACTTTTTTCAGTTTTTTTAAAGATAATTTCATATTAATAGAAGAGTTACAAAAGATAGTTCAGAGGGTTCCTCTATACCTCTTACTCAGCTTACAAAAATTTTGAGAAAAAATCTTTATTGAGTAATTAATTGTTATAATTGAATGAAAAGAGAGGTCAGAGAAACAAAGAAGAAACCAGGAAAGGAAACTGAGAAGTTGCTGCATCCTGTGAAGTAGGAGGAACATGAGAGTGGATGGTGTTCTGGAAGCCAAGTGAAGAAGATGCTTCTGTAAATTCATTATTCCCAGCCTCGACCTCTCTCTCCTGAACCTCACACTTGAATCAGGGATGGAGATACCACTTCACACCCACAAGAACGGTTAGAAAGGCTGATGATATCTAGCGTTAGCAAGGGTGTAGAGTAGCTGAACTCACAGCATTGCTAGTGGAGTAGAAAACTGGTTATACTTTGGAAAACAGTTCAGCAGGATTTTTTTTTAACAGCTTTATTGAGGTTGGTCAGTTTTTTGTGAAGTTAAGCATATACCTCTGCTGTGACCCAGCAATTCCACTCCTAGGTATATACCCAAGAAAAATGAAAACATGTTCACAGAAAGATGTGTTCAAGAATGTTCACAGCAGTGCTATTTGTAATAGCTCAAAACTGGATACAACCCAAATGTCCATCAGCAGGTGAATAAATACAAATTGTGGTATGCTCACGATGGAGCCCTACCTCACAGCAAGAAAGAGGGAACTACTAGACTCAGTGTGCATCAGTCTCCAAAACCTGTTGAGCTAGACGAATGCAGGTGATGAAAACGAATACATACTACGTAATCCCATTGATACAAAGTTCTAAAACAAACATAATTAAGCTATGGTGACAAATTAAATCAGTGATTTTGGGGAAGAGACACATAAGAGGACACTCCTGTGCATGAGAAACAACGGAATAGGAAACTTTCAGGGGTGATGGAAGCGTTCTGTGTCTTGTTTGGGTATCAGTTACACTGGAATATACATTTGTCAAAATTCATCATAGTACACTTAAAATCAGTGTGTTCTGTATGTAAATTATACAATAAAGTAGATTCTTTCAAAAAGTCCTCAGTGACTTCCCATTGCACTTCAATAAAATTCAAACTCCTTTTGGCTTCCAAGACCCATCATGATCTGGTACCTGCTCACCTCTCAAGCCTCATCGTCCCCAACACTTTTCTTTATTTGCTAAATCTCAACCACATTAGCCTCCTCTTAGTTCTTAAAAGGTACCAAGCTTTTTGCCATCTACGACCATTAGCTAGAATTTTGCCGATTCCTACCTTTTCTCATGGCTGACTTCTTTTTATTCATTAGTTATTACCTTATGTGTTCTTCCTCAGATAGCCTTAGCTGTCTGCTTGCTATGATGTTTCCCTCACTACAGGGTAAACTCCATGAAGACAGGAGACCTGGTTTCTCCTGTTTTACATTTTATGTCCAGAACTTAGCACAGTGCTCAGTAAATTTTACTTGAACAGATTGATAGCAGTTAGCTGTTTGAATCTAGACAACTTGGGATTCAGTCCAAGGGCTCTACTTCTTATTTTGTCACTAATTTTCTGATAAATTTTTTAAATCTTTTTATTTCCTAGTTATAAATGACCTTAAAGACACTAAAAATCAACAGAATAAGTGAAACAGATTAAAAGCTGTCTTGATATTATTGTTTGGTGCCAAATTATAATAGGCATCTGAGTGGTTCTTTTAAAGTTTAAAATACTTTTATAGTTATGATTTTTATCTCTTCAGTAATTCTGAGTTGAGATAATTAAAAGTCTTATTATTATACAGATGAAAAAGAATTAGTTATAGAAAATTTAAACCAATTGCCTAGGGACCTAGAGAATAAAATTCAATAAAGACAGAAGTTTTGATACATGTCCTTTTTTTTCCTCAGAAAAGTTACGTTCTATGTTCAGTTTGTGGTATGTTTGTTTTATTTACAGCTCATGGTGATAAAGATAAAGTCAAACAGAAAGCATTTGTGGAGCCATATTTTAATGATGAAAGGTAAGTTGGTCTGGGTTAAGACCAGCAATGCGATTGGAAGTTCAACAGAACTGTCTTGTCAGAGTATCTCTGATTAAAACTGCTACTTTGGTTAAAATAGAATGTATATCATTTACTTTATGATCATAACAGAAATGAACTCAAGTATGAAAAAATTTGACAAATTTTTAAAATAAGGAAATTTTTACCACCATTTTTTTTTGATAATGGTAACAGTTATTTTCTCTGCTTTATTATATTTTATTCTTACTCTGTTTTACTGTAAACTTTATTTGAATTTCAGGAATTGAACACTGAATACTGTAACTTTTATATAGTACAAACTTTAGATGGTGAGCCTTAGGTTGTGTTCCAGAATTATTTTAGGAGAATTTTTAAACTTTAAAAAAAATTGTAAGCATCTTGATTTTAAACCATAATGATACTTTTTGCCTTTTATGTAAATATTGCAAATTCTGTAACTTTCAGTCATGTACTTTTCATTCTAGGAGTGAATTAAGGCATAGTAATTCATTCAAAAAACCTTTTTATGCTTTTTTTTTCTATAAGTTATGATGTTGGCAAGTTAAGTCACTTAGTAAGTGAAGTTATTCCTTATACTTTGATTTGTCAGAAATTTTAGAAATCTGACAGGCCAAGATAAATTTTTATTGATTCCTGTAGGACTTTAATGGATAAGAGCTATCATTTGGTTGCTAAATGATTAATTCTTTTTATTTACCAGTTTTCCAAAGAAATAGTACTGTAGCATCTCACATGTGACTTGAGAGTGTCTTGTCTAAGCATCATCATGAACTCATGAATTATATTTGATGTGTTTCAGTCCATTGCAGTTACCACCCTTACTGATACTCAGATTGTCCCATCTTTGCCCAGCTTCCTTGCTTCTGGTATAACATGTTCTGGGCTTTCTTCCGCATTCTCTGCAGTAGGCTAGAATCTGCCATTTCTCCAGGAGCCCTGGTTTCTTTAAGTTAAAAATGGTATTTAGGTCAGTCTTACTGCTAGGGTTGCTTACTGCTGCAGTTAGCCATTGTTTCTAGACCTTTTAGGTGGGCATTTAGAAATAAAGTTTTTGTTACATTTTGGTTTTTTAAGATAAACTACATTTGTTCATAGATAGCTACAGTCAGGATTTCTCTGTAACCTCCTGTGTCACATCTCTATCTACTTTCCCGCCTACTGAAAATCCCACTTCTGTGCCACCAGCATCATTCCTCTGTTCCACAGAAGAGTGTCAGAATAATTCAGACTATCACCAATAACATGATTTATGAAAATGGTTTAAGACTTATTTTTGTCCTTGAGATTTATCCTGTCAGAAATGTACAGTCAAATCACTGTTTTCAAGTCACTTAGGATAATTATTTTCTATGTAGTTATGCCACCAACCCAGTATCCATGTTTATTTTGCTTTTGATTTTTTAGAATTTTTCTTATCTTTTTTTTAAGGAATTATATATATGATACCAGAGGCTTCAAAAAAGGGTTTATTCTAGTAAGTCTACTGTCCTTATCCCTTTCATTTTGTTAATCTCCTGTTCCTACAGATGACTGTCTGTTAAAGATGTATGTTTTTCCATCCATTTCAAAAAATAAAAGCAAATTTCTATCTATATATCTTGATACTGATAACAGATGTAGGTAATGCTATACATGCTTTTCTCTACTTTGCTTTATTCATTTAACTGTATGTCCTGGACATCACTCATGGTAGTACATAGTGATATTCCTCATTTTTTTAGTTTCATAGTATTTCATTGTTTGTACCATAGTTTGTTCTAGCAGTGAGCATTTAGGTTGTTTACAGTTATGCTCGCGTGCATAGTGCTGCAGTGAATAGCCTTGTGCATTCTGTTTTCAAATTATTGCCTGTGCTTCTTTGGAATAGATTCCTAGAAGTAAGATTGCAGACTAAGAACTGTCATTTCAAATGTTTCATAGTAGAAGTTCACACTGACTTTTTAATACATGAGTAATTTTATTTATTCTGAAACCATTAGACAGCTGCAGATAGAGGAGGTGGGTAAAGATATAGGGATGGTAAAAGCCTCAGTTAGCCTGGTTCCTTTCTCTACCGAGAGTACCAGCAAACCTGGGAAGATGGGTTGTGTTGTGTCAGGGACAAGCAGCTCAGTAGCCTTGCAGGTGATGCTTGGCGTCCGCTGCCGCTGCCAGTCTGCTAGTGGGTTCCCTGCGGCATTGTGGCACACCACAGAAACGGATAGGATTCAGAGGATAGGATATGGCTGAATTTATTCTCTATAAACTTAAGACTCCATAAACTATTGGAAAGAAAATAGTCATGGCAATATTTTTTATGTTGTTTTTTTTTTTAATTCACTGCTTCAGAGTTGAGAGTTCTTGGATTTAAGCATGAAAAGGGCCTGATATGTTTTGAAATTGAGCAGTTAAAACTTTCTTTCGAGAAAAGTGCTTGCCAACTAGAGGGTCATGTGGTGAAAATACCTCAGGCGAGTAGATGTGTTACCCACAAGCCATTCTCAAAACCAGTTTCTGTGAGTCACACTGTTGAAGTTCACTGGGGATGTTTCTGTTATAAATAAATATATATTGATGTGACAGAAGTCTTCCTTTACTTACTTCTAAGTTTGGAGTTTTCTGTATTGGGCTTTTAAAAGCAGGATACATGTGTATTAATAAAGAAATGTTCATGCTTCCTGGTTGCATTTTCTTACCAAGTACTGGGTACTTTATCAGTCCATACCTCAGTGGCTTCCAGCCTTCCTAGGTATCCAGTGGTTCATGACAGATCCAGTCCATCTAAGGACAAGCACAAATGGTAACTGTGCCTCATATCTGCAATAATTTAGGGTGGACGGAAGCAGCCAAAGAGATTTTTAGAGAAAATAGCAAATGACATAGAAACGATTCTATTCTTTGGGAAGAGTAGGTTAGCCCTGATATATGGGTTCTTAGAACCGAGTTAGCAGAGGTGATATTCTCGCTCTCGGTTATGTTATAGAATACCAATTCCTGAGTTTAATAATACAGCATTCCTTTATAAATAGGTTATTTTATGTTTTACCTCCCAACCTAATCATTGTTTTCAGCCACCAGAGGTGAAAATAGGAAGTAATAGTTACCTTTTTCATTTAGAGAAAAATACCCATAAAAATACCTGGTGTATAAGTAGGCACTTAGTATTTTAGCCAAGAATGAGTGAAGAAATTCTTGGCTTTTCTCACATACTGAGGAAGCATTTCAAATAAAATGAATGAATGTTTTGGGATTATTTCTCATCTGGATGTTCACCTTTGTTAATTGAAAACCTAAACCAAAGGTCTTTTGTTCTTCCCTTCCCAGAGAGACTAGCTTACCAAATTTTCCTCACATTGAGGTGATTCGGAAAAAAGAAGAGAGAAGAAAACTGCTTGGACACACATGTAAGGAATGTGAAATTGTAAGTACTAATAGAAATACTGTCCTTTGGGGTTTTTTTAAGTGTGGCTTTATAGATCATAAATGCATAGTTCGAAACCATACTTGTAACCTAGAAACAAGCTTGAGCCAGGAATAACAAAATGAATACACAGAGGACACACACACACTGGCTAGAACCTGAGAGAGAAATAGATGAAAACGAAGGCCCTCAGTTTCTCTGAGGTGCTAAGTGCATCTGGAGCCGTAAGCACTGGTCCTTAATTTCCAGCTTAAGACATTTGTGCCATTTGTCTTCTCTGTATTTATTTGTATTTCTTTTAATTTTTCCCCCTTGTGTTATATTACAGAATAGGCTCTAATACAGATACTATTTGGGGAAATTTTTGATGTTTCAGTAGGAAACTTTGCTATAGTATTTTTTACTTAAACACCAGCCTCTCAGGAAAGAGGTACACTCATAATTGTTTTCTTCTAAATAACTAGTACAAGCACAGGCTCTTATTTTTCCCCTGAACATTTTCCTTTCTAAACGAAATATGATGAACAGGCTCTCCTTCATCCTTAGAACAGTTACATTACCCTTTTATACACTGGGTGTCTTGGACTAGGTAAGTATGTCCTGAAGTAGACAGTACTGTCCTGTTACTAAATAGTCCTAGGCAGGTTCTGTGTTCTTGAAACGTGCTGTTTTTATTTCTTCCCTTGCTATCCTTTAGCTGTTGGATGCTTGCTTCCAGCAATGTCCTTCCCCTTTTAAATTTTCTTTTTAACAACTATGGCTAGAAAACTTGGTAACCAAGCACATTAAAGTTATGTATGAATAGATTACAGTGCAGGTAAGCATTTGGTGAGAAATGTGCTCTCATACACTTAACAGTGGGAGTGTGAACTGAGATCACTCTTTCAGAAAGCAGTTTGGTGATACAAACAAAACCTCCAGTGTCAGGAGTCCTCATAAAACAAATTGAATATATCATAATTTCTTAACTAAGGAATATGGTCTGCACTAAATAAACCTCCAGTTTTTAGTTGCTACTGGAATACTGCCAATTAGGAAAAAAATCTATTGCTGGAAACAGTGTTATTTGCTTTCCTTCTCTCAGGAATCACTTTCTGTGCTGTAATCCTGTCTCTGAAAACATTATTTCATACATTTTATTCTATTTAAGTTTTTTTAAGGTAGAAGGTAAATCTATTCTGTTACTCCCTTATGACCAGGAGTGCAAAGTGCCAGTCCCGTGTATTTAAATATTGCCTGTATGCTTACAGTTCGTGAGTTTTTCCCGTTGCCTGTTCCAATGGGGAATATGTTACACAGGTGTGGATGTGTAACGGTCATCTCAGATTTCACATGTCCAAAAGTGAACGTAGTTTCTACCTCCAATTCTCAGCCCTCACCTCTGAGCCTTCCCTATGTCCATTCTCCTTGTTGTGTAAACCAGAGGTCCTGTAGTTACCCTCTGCATTTTTCTTTCATATCTCAGTAACGGATCTATCAGCAAATCCCACTGATTGTACTTTTAACAGCAATGAATGGTCTTTTCCTTTTTTCCTAATGATCTTTTTAGAACAAAAGTTAAATCATGTCACTCCTCTGCCCAAAACTCTTAAATGTCTTCCTCTCTCATTAAGAAATGGAATCAAAGCCCTTATCAAGGACAGCAGACTCATGCCCCACTTCCTGTCTGACTTCATCCTCTTAACACTCTCCCACTTGACTGCTGTGTTATAGCTACACTAGCCTACTGTTGTTTTCAAGTATGTTTTAATTTAGTGGCAATATTTCCCTAACGTTGATTGATAACCATGATTCTCTAAGGGCATCCCATCTCAGTTTCCAGGCTAAGGTAACAAAGGCTTATACTCACAGCAGTGAGAAGGAAGAAAAAGGTCTTAGAGGATCTCTATATAAAAGAAAAATCTACATGAAAGAAAAATATATTAAAAAACTTTTACTTCAAATTTAAATTCCATTCCTAAGTCTGCCACTTTCAATAGATGATATTTTCAGTAAATTATCACTTTTATTTTCAGTGTCTCGAGTAGAATGGAATTAGCTAGCTAAATTATGTGATCCTGTGATGTGTTGTTAAACTTTACTGCTTTATTTTCTTTAGATCTAGAGCTTGAAGACCTGTGTCATTCTCACATATAAGTTTTCTCTTTCTTTGCATTAAGTTCAGGTTCTTTATGATCAGTTGCAAAAAATAATATGCCTTTGATCCTAACTGAAAAATATAATTTAAGGGAAGTCATGAAGCCTGCAATATTCAAAGCTTAACTTTTATTTTAAAAATTGTAGTACCCCACCAAGAAAAAAAAAATTAAAAAATTAAAAATTGTGATAGGAAAATTACTTCAAAACACATGTTACATCCTAATAACAATTGAAAAAAATTGCTGTTCAGGATGCGGGCATTTTTGGTATAAATCTGACAAAGATGAAGAGTTAGCACCAGTAGATAAATCAGCTGCACCACCATGCACACTGTAAATTCGGCTGATGCTTTTTTTCATTATGTGACTTTATTGATCAAGTTAGCAGTATGTTGATTTACATTGTGATACAAGCACCTTTTCTCATTTGTGGAGTAAGCATTTCACAGGCCAGCACTAATTACTGTTTCTACTGAATTACTGCTGCTGTTTCTACTGAATTACTAATTCATTTAGCAAGCTGAATACTTTAATAATTTTCTTAGCTTCTAGTTCAGTAAGCATTTATTATCATTCCATTTTACAAACATTCCATTTACTGTCCCTGAGTGGAAAACTTAACCAGTTTTATTGTCAGTATTATGCAGATTTTCCAGCAGAAGAAAGAGAAAAGAAGTTGGCTTCCTGCTCTAGACACCGATTCCGCTACATTCCACCCAACACACCAGAGAACTTCTGGGAAGTTGGTTTTCCTTCCACTCAGACTTGTATGGAAAGAGGTGAGAGTATAGATTTATAACATTCTGGAATTTTTTTTTTTAATACTGTCTATACCCAAGTCTAAACATCAAACTTTTTCTTCATGGTTCTCTACCTTGTGCTATAATTTGGGTGCCAGTTTTGTGACATAAATAATATACTTCCTAAAGATAAAAAGCTTATCTCAACTCTTGAGATAATTTCACTGGAATCCTAGATTATTTATAAGCACTTTAATGGGATTGTGCATGTGTTATCCTGGTTTATCAAAGTTCAGAAAATAATTTCTCTCTTATCCTGTCATCAAAATGACTTAATAAAATAAATAACTTTACAAAAGTTGCTAGTAAAACTATATTGTTAAAAGGCATCTTTTTTTAAAAGTGACTACTCAGAATTTTAGATATGAAAACCTCACTTACCCAGAATGCCGGTTATTTATAAACCATATTTGAGTAAAAAGAACTTTGGGAGAAACACTGAGATGCAGTTAGCTCCTTCAAATACAGCACTTACGTTTAATGTAATTTGAGAACGTATGCAGCTTTAAAGCTCCTGATACTTAGAAGAGAGAAGATAGTTCTTCCAAAAGCTGCAAAGTCTCTTACAGCTATTACCACATTTCCACTTTCCCCACCAGCAAGTCCTCTCTGACGTGACCCTTCTGCTGGTCATCAAGTAGAGTTAGCCTGGATAAGCCTGTGTTTGCACCCCCCATGTGGCCTAGGGGCTATGGCAGGGCACAGTCTTCCCCTGAAAACTACATGACTGGACACACCCTAGGAGAATTGAATAGTCTGAAGAATATAGGGACATGTCATGTAATCAGATAGCTACCAAATAAGCACCTGGAACTTGTCATAAAGAATATAGGGACATGTCATGTAATCAGATAGCTACCAAATAAGCACCTGGAACTTGTTGTAATAGTAAAAAGTTCATGTTTAGCCACTTGTCCCCATTTGCAGCCAAGGGGAAGCAGAATAGGAAAGTGCTTAAGAGCTCTGGCTCTGGAGTTAGATCTTGGGCAGGGTCCCAGCTCTTCTACCTCCTGGCTTTGGGAACCTGAGTGAGCTGTCTTGACTTCCCTGGGTCTCCGTTAGTTCACCTGTGAAATAGGCAGAGTGGAAGCTACTGCAGGAGTGTGAGAGTCATCCCAGATAACGTATACAACACATTTGATGTTTGCTGCTATTATTTTTAGTATAAATGAGGAAACTGATGCAAAGTAGTGAAATCACTCATCAACATGACACACCTACTAACAGAAGAATCATGTAAACTTAGAAGGCATTACATGAGACATGCTTATGCTGAAAGATGTATGTTGCAAGTACAGTTTTCTAAATTTGTGATTTATTTTTAAGGTTACATTAAGGAAGATCTTGATCCTTGTCCTCGTCCAAAAAGACGGCAGCCTTACAATGCAATATTTTCTCCGAAAGGCAAGGAGCAGAAGACATAGATGTTGAAGCAAAAACAGAAGAGGGCAGTCTTTTTCTTTAGTTATTTATAGTTAAAGTTGGTATTAAACACTGATTTTTTGATCTTCTATAAACTGATTTATAAATCATTTTTCTATTGAAAATGTTTTTAAATGGCATTTACCTACTACACAGACAACTATTTAAAATGTGGATAAGTTTATGTTGTATTTTCTTGCTCCTGCACCTTTAAAATAAGGTGCTTTCATTTTGCACTCTTAAGTTAAGAGCTGTTTATTTACTTTTAATACCCAATTACAATTTTGAAAATATGGCAGTTGTAGTCTGATTTGTCACCTTTCAGATCTTTTACTCCATATTCCCTTGGTATTCACAGTCAGCCGTGACTCCATGCTAATCATAACAAGTTTTCATTCTCTTAAACAAATTGCTGTTATATAGGTCATTCCAATGTCTGGCATTTAAGTCTTCTCAAAAAAGTGCTAAATGTTAAGTCCTTTTAACTTTCTAGCTTCTCTTGTTGACTTGAAAGGAGGTACTGCTCTAGTGAATTCCTTTCAAGATGACTATGAATGAACTTTTTCCTTACCCATATACTATAAATTAACATCACACCCTGATCTTATCATAATAGTCCAGCTCTTCACATGTTTTCTTTTCATCATACTTGTTTTTCCTATTTCTCATCGGTCAGAATTGTTACTTGGCTACCTCTAATAACAGAGATGAAATTAGAGCTCGGGACTGCCTGATTCCAGAATCAGCGCTTGTGTCCACTATAGTATAGTGCTTCTAAAGGCCAGAAGGCCGAGAAACACCTGGATTGGAACAAGGCACCACAGATGTGCAGTTAGAGCTAAACACCTCCAGTGATTTGTTTAAGAGGGAGCCTAAGCAGAGACAAGAGATTGTCTACCTGATGGCTTGACAGCAGTCCAACCCTTTAACTAGCATTTTTCATTTTTTCTCAATCACCCTGTAAGGTTGGGTAAACCGAGGTCCTGTCATCTGCTATTGACCAGCTCTACCTTTAAATGAAGTAATGAAATATATGCTTTTTAAAGACACTTGAGTTAGACAGATGCATTTAAACTCAAAACTGCAGTTTGTGACACATAGCACACTGTCAAACTTTAAATGTATATGAAAGGGCTTTCTTCATTTGTAAAGCATTATTCATGTTAGACAGTGTTTTCAAATATGTATCAGTCACTGTTTGTATATAGCTATATATAGTTTCAGGTTGCCTATGAGCTTTTTAAAGTTGAAGACCTGTGATTTAAACTTTGAAAGTATGCAGAACCTCTGTGTCAGCACTGAACATTGGACTAACACCTTTTCTGCCTTTGACAGGCATTCCGATTAAACCATTTGAAATCCAAGGTTGTCAGAGGCAGTGGTTTGAATGAGTTAATCACTAGTACCCAAATGTATACAGAAGATACAACGTGCTACCTTGAGAAAAGAACAAATGAAGCAGAAAAATATTCCCTAACACCTTTCATGTAGTGAAAAATCTTCCAAAGTCCAACTGGAAAGGCAGCTGTTGGTAGGCTCCAAGTATTAGTACCTCAGTTTAAACTGCATCTAGCATTTGTATTTAAAAGTTTACAGAGGACATTCTTAGGACCTCTAAAACCAGTAACTGAAAAACAGCAAATATTCCTTCCCCAGATTAGCTTTAATTCATAATTCAGTTGTTAAAAAAGGAACAGTGTTATGTAAACCAAATAACATTAATACATTTACTTGAACATTTACCAGGCACTATCTTTCCAGGCATAATACTAAGTACAGTATCAGAATCAGGCAGAATTTGACAGATGTTTTCCAATGGGGCAAGCTTTTGAAAAAAACACACCTAAGAATCTTCAGTTATCCCTGACATTTTTTTTAACTCTGTTTTTGTGGCTAGGGGTAATTAAGTTTATTTATTTTAATGGAGGTACCAGGGATTGAACCTAGGACCTGGTGCATGCTAAGCATGTGCTCTACCACTGGGCTACACCCTCCACCTGTCCCTGACATCTTAACATAACAAGCATGAATTTTGAAAAATACCACTTCAGAAACAAGCATTTAAAATACATCTCGATTTTTACCATTCAGCTGTCTATTCGCAACAAGCTTAGCAGTTTAAGACATATCTCAAAATCTCTTTGCTGAGCTGATGCTGTTAGAATGGTTCCTTAGAAGGCTGAAGGTTCCTTAGAAGGCTGAAGTGTCCTTAGACTCAAATCCTTCAGCATGCACTTAAGGAGTTAATGAAGCAGTTGTCTACTGTGACACCAGCAGAGGCCACAAGAGAGGTATTTTTGGAGGATAATCAGTGGAAACTAGGGGCTGAATGGGATGATCATTTACAAATTTCTAGGATAAATAGGGTATGAGTTGGAAACCTTTGGAACAGTAATGAGAGCTCACTGGGCAAAAACAAGCTTGTCAACATAGCTATTGTTAGAATAAAACAAATCGCTGAGGCAATAATTCATGGTCCTGAAGAAAAAATTAACACTGTGTACTTACCATATGCTAAGCATTCGGAGATACAGAGATGTGAGGTCTGTTACTAAACAGTGGGAGACCGGATATAAACATACAAAGATGCCTAAGAGGTCAAAGGACCTTGGACTGAGTGCCAAAGAAATACTAAGGATTATCTGAACTTGAACTGTGCCTGCAGATGAGTTAACCTAGAGAAGCAGGTCAGAGACAAACCAGGGCAGGAGTACCAGCTCAGTCACTTAAGAGTCTGACATGGCCAATGCACTCAAATTCTCCCACCTTCCTGTACCTTCAAATAACAAGGTTATCGTGGGGACTGGATGAGATGCTACAGGAACTTGCCTCAGAGCCTGGTCCATAGTAACCATTCAGTTCTTGATAGCTGTCATCATCGTTGTCAGTATTGCAGAGATGGTGGTGATGAATCAGAAAGCAAGCCTCTTGGACAAGTCAGAATTTGAGCTCCTCCTTAACAACTAGGTTGCATTTAGAGAGACCGGAGGAGCAAGGTGGGAGACGGGTCTGTAAAGGAAAAGGGTCACAAGGAGGCAGTAGAACAGGAGGGGTGTTACCGGCTGTGGTGAGGGCTTCGAGGAGAAGCGAATTACCAGGGCAGGAGAGAGCAGGGAAGTCACAGCCCACAGGGCACATGTGGGTGCTTAAGTCGGGATCTCTAAGGGAACTGCACAGAGGAGTGTCCACGACCCCGGCACTCCTCCTAAGCCCCCGGATCCTCTGTACTTTCTAACTGTTCAGACTCTGGAGGAGGGGTACTCCTCCACAGCAGGTATCACTTCTAGGCCATGGAGTCATTTTCAAATGCTGTTATTTTTGAAGAGTGAATATAATTCCATAAATTTTATTCCATAAATATTAATTGACCACTACTTACCTGCTCATACTGAAATCAGCAAAGACTAGAGGCAGAAACAGAAAAGCGCTCCCAGGCCCAGAAGAAAACCAAAAGACTGAATTAGTACTTTTAGAAGAACACTCTCAAAGGGACTTTCCAAAACGGACACAACCTTGTTTCATAATTCAGGGCCTGAAAGAGAAGCCAGTTTGCCTGTCTGCAGATGCAGCACACAGAAGGCTGATAGCTCAGCTGGTGAGTGTGTATTTCAGGTACAAGGTGTCTGGCTCGCAACACCACCTGTCCCCCAACTTACTTTCCTGGGCACCCCATTTGTTCCAGACAAGAGGGGTAGCCAGGTTAACCTGACACAGCTGCTGAATTATCCAAAGATGTTCCCTGGCACACCCCACCCTCTCTCTGCATAGAAAACAGATGAAAGCCTCCACTGTAGGAAAACTACAGTGGGAAGCCTGTCAAGACTTCCCCTCAAAATACTAAAACATGACTTACGTAAGTAGTGTCCAAACACCTCCAAGAGAGAACAATGTGGAAATGTCAGAAATATGATCACCTGTGAAATCAGCTGTATAAACGAAGATATTTATCACGGTTCTATTTGTCCTTTAACAATGTAAACATTGCATGTTTTCAATTCATTAGAAACAAATAAAAACCTATAGCCTTCATCTCAGGAGGAGATAACCCACTGCTGTGAGGATTTTGTCTCCTTCCAATCATTTTATCATCCAATTCCTGTGACTTGCTCTCAACTGAGTAGACTCTTCAAGGGCTCCAGAATTACCCCATTTGCCTGTGATCCTAATGAAATGCTCCTCATTACAGTATTATTTCTTCATGGTCAGGCTTTCTACAGAACTCCAGGAGGCTCCTGTTCAGATGTGAACATGCCTACCTATACACTGAATACTTTAATGGTCATTCTCACCTGAGCAGCAATTCATTTCTCAGGTAACCAGCTGCCATGCTGGAAAGGAGAACAGGGCCCAAGGTACAATGTACTCCCCATGGAGCAGAAGGACCAGGCACTGCCCAGGAAATGCAGCAGAGTCTGCCAGGCACCCCAGAGTTATACTTTTTAAAGGAAATGTTGTGCTTATGATTAATGTTCTTTTAATGAAAATTTTAATGATATAACTGGGTCCCTAGAGTTGTATGTACCTGCAGTGAGCGCAGCAGTGACGGTGGTGGGCTTGCTCTTCCATACTTACTCTTTAAAGCTACGCTTTTTAACATTCTGCATAGGGATGTTTGTCTTGAAGAAAAGCACTTGCACAATTGAGCTGCATGCTGAACTATCCACTCTGCATGGAATGCTGTTACAAAAGCAGGAATAACAAATATTATGACTATTCAGACTTGATTATTTGGCAGACATTTTTTTCAAAAATGAATGAAGTAAGCCTGTTACTGCAAGGAAAACAACCTTCCATATTTGTTGCCAATGATAAAATTTGAGATTTCAAGTAAAAAATCAGAATTTTGGAAAACTGGTACTGCTACTTTTCTGATGAGATCGGTGACAGTGTTAATGAATGTGACTTTTTATCATATGCTGAAACGTGTCAATATCTAGGAGATCTACATACCTCAGTTGAATCGATATTTCTCAAATGACCAATGATTTATTATAAATCATGCGTAGATAAAAGATCCAAATTGCAAGATAGCCCTATGGGTTTTAATGCAAGAGTACAAAAAAATTCATTGATATGGTTTCAGATTCTACATTTGTAACTGACGTTTAAGAAACTGCCACTTGTTGAGTACTGACATAGCATCAAAGACTAAAATCCAAAATTATCTGGGAAATCCATTAAAAATGTGTCAGGCCTAATTTTTATTTTCTCAACCAAAACATTATCACAAACTGAATACAGAAGCAGACAAGAATCCAACTATCCTCTGTTAAGCCAAACATTGAAGAGATTTGA